CCGCTATAACAACAAATACTAAAAACAAAAACGTATAAGCGGGGCTCCCATAAAACAGACATGATTTTTTGCCGTTTTTAATGATAATTGACAGCAGTAGTGTTTTTGACAATATGTAAGTGTAATACTTCTATACTTCTATTGAATAAAGATATTAAAAAATGATTTTTTTTAATGTGATAGAGTGGCAAACGAGCTGGCGGTTCCTCTGATGTTAAGTGATAACAACATTAAAAAAGTGGGCCCCGGTTACCTCCCTCAACGTAGAAGTATAACACTTCTGTGAGGTCGGTACGGAACCCTTCGAGTCCGACTCCCACTTAGCCGATTTTTATTCAATACATTGTCGATATGATGGCAAAAAGATATCAGAAAGATTGAATTACATATGATGTCGTAATCACCAGAGACTGAGGGCTGGTGAAACATTCATCTTAGAGACGCTTTAAAGCAAGACATTGGCCCATCAAATATCGGTCAACGCGTAATCTGCAACGTCATATTCATTTACAGGTTCTCCGAGTTATCTGCATTAAAAAACCCAAGATGCGATTATTTATGTCCGAAACTATGGGAGACAAGACTTATTTGTCACTTTTACGTGTAACCCCGAATGTCCCTTAAATTAAAGCGGAACCATTATCTGGTCAGTGGTCTTTCGGTCTTCATGACGTAATTTCAAGGGTATTTCATTAAAAAATGAAGTAATTCATAAAATTATTCACCAAAAACGAAATATTCGGAAGGTTTTAGTGTGTGTATGATAACTTTTTGTTAAATACCCGTGCGAAGCCGGGGTGGGCCGCTAGTCTTTAATAACAATACTGAGCAAATTCATTAACATTGCGTATGGCGAAATCACCTTAGAGATTTTATTTCACGTTTTACAGAAGACTTGTTTATTCATTATAATACCAGTTTCCAGTGAAATTTGAGAGAACTTAATGACGATTTTAATTAAAGTGTCGGGTGTGTGTGTTATTTAGAATTTATCAATTCCTTGTTTTTTTGTGATACACCTCTGGTTCTATTTTCATTCTAGTTTGAAAGTATCACCTGATAGAGAGGATGGTTTGGAGAATTTGAGAGCACCCGCCTAAGGGAGGCGATAGTTTCCTATTTAAATTGCCCGTTAATGTCACGTAACAGAACCATCCTCTTCACCAGTGTTGCTTGTTGATAGAGTTGTGAGAACCAATGACTTAATGTTTGCTTGAGACGACTTGGATCTCTCCTGCTTTTGAGGATGACGATCTGGTCCAAGTTTTAATTGCTTGAGATAACTGTAGGGATCTCTCCTACTTCTATGGGTGACGGTCTAGCCCAGTTTTTGTTTGCTTAAGGTTTCTTACTTGCTTTTATGAGTAACGATCTAGTCTAGCATAGTGAGCTGAGGGGATTTCCAGTCTAGCGTGGTGAGCTAAAGGGATTCAAAAGACGAGATTTTTAGTCTAGCAGTATGGGCTAAAGGGATTTTCATTCAGTCTAGCATGTTTTCGCAATCTGCAGTGTTTTACCGACCGAGACGACATGGAAGAAACGAGTTTCTGTAGAGTTTACACGAATCGGTCCAGACTATACTAGTATCATGGCTTTCATGTTATCTATTAATGGGAGTAGGATTGGAAGAACCCGTGTCTTGTCTTGTTTCTTGTTAAATAAAGCCTATAACGCGCCCGAGGACGTGCGCAAGTCAGGATGGCCGTGACGGGATCACTGTTTTGGCTGTGACGCGCAGGTAACAGAATAACGCACGTGCACTGAATGCCATCACAAACCGCGTATCTAACTCCCCATCCATCAACCTATATAAGCCGGTGTTCACTGTAGGGCAGGACATTCGTAATACCTACATTACCTGAATAAGTTGTCTTATTTTGTTTCTTCTCCTCCCACATCTTCCTAATGTACTACATGTCGGTGAGTGAGAAACCATGTGTGTGAGAAAATGGCGGTCGTAACCTTCATTATACGTGTACCTTCATGGCTTCTTTGATAAATTTCTGCAATAAAAAAGGTTGACTCAAATCCACAAATGTCCATCGCCAGATATAAATCGAGATGATCTCATGCTTTTTTTAAAATAAGTGACAATATATGACCTAATAGCACTTCCATAAGTGTCGGTTTTCCATTGTTCATTTCGGAGTCCTACATTATTCCGCTTTCCGCTAGTTAATTTAGATTAAATACTGAAATGATTTAGTTAAAATCGCCTGCTAAAGTGTTATTTCGATAGTTTAGAATAGTATTTAAATACACGACGCTGACATATTCATTAATTTATTGTATCAGTATGAAAAACCATTAGAATTATAAATAACTAAATATAATAGCAAAATATCTAAAAGCTTGTTTATATATAATTATGGCAAACTGTTATTCATATACAAAACAGCTTTTACATTACTTCTTTCAACAAAATGCAATCGATTTATTATAATCATGTTATTGGAAGATCAACAAGATTGTAAAAACAATTTCTATAGATAATTAAAGCTTTTAACGCTTAAGTGCTGTCGCTAATTGAAGTAATTTTGTAAACGAATACGATAAAACGTTCATGAAGACAATATATTAAACAAGAACTTATTTAAAGAAATAACTTCTTGTTTAATATATTTTTTCCTCTTCTTCATACGTGATTTTAAAAAAACGCCATTCATAATTTTGCCATTTTAATATTGTTTATAAAAAAAAATTAGAGTCTTTTACTGGTCACTTTTCGATTGTCATTTTATTTATAGGTAGGTTTGTTTGTTTATTTATTTTTTAAGCTTGTTTCTGCACTCAACTCGAAGTGAATTTATCTACAAATTTTTTTTTAGAAAAAATGTCAAAATTTTTCGTCTCCGTGTACTTCCTTCAGCCACTGAGCTAAGCGGCCGATATCTACGTCACGAAAATCTTACATTTGTCATGATGACATTCACTATGTTTGACTCACAGCCGCAAGTTCTTCCGCATGGATCCCTTATACTGAATCATGTCATGAGCTCCCGTGCTTTACAAACAAGACGAACTAACCGTTATTTTTTACTGATAACCATATCATCAGTACATTTTGGGTAATAAAAACCTTAATACCTATAATATACTGATGTTAAACGATATGTTTATTATATCCTAGGCAAACATGTTGTAGGTTGGTAAAAGTACTTATGCACAAAAAGTAAACTGTCATATTTACGCTCAAAACTAAGCAGAATGATCCTCACTAAATAAAAGCCACCAACAATTATCTACGCTTGTCGCTCTAATGTGTCCAGGACAGCGCGATAACATTTTACAGCACATCATTGATGATTTTAACAAAGGCGTGTATTCTTCCATCGTCAGAATTCGTTTTAAGTTAATAATATGTTTTTTATATAATTATTAGTTTCACAAACTAGTGATACAGGCCCTACTTATAAGAGGTAACCCAGATACGACAAATAAAAAAAAAACAGGCACGTCAATTTTATTTATTTGCATATAAAACAGTTTTGATCTTTTCATATCATTCTGCCTTCAGCGGGAGATTCCTTATAACGTTTACTCTTGTCGAGATGATGCCTCAAAAGCGGTATGCTTTTGAGGCATCATCTCGACAACAGTATTGTATAGACCACTTTGGTATAGTCAGGACTATTTTTTACGGCTTATTACTTTTATATTTTGACGATCCGTATGGTGTAGTGGGTAGTGTACCAACCTCCTGCGCCAGAGGGTGTGAGTTCGATCCTCACTAAAGGAAAAATATTGTTTATTGAAATAGTGTTTTTCTAGTGTCTGGGTGTTTATATAAATGTATCATATGTATTTATTTACAAAATAAAAGTATGTTTAAGTAAGTTATCTAGTACCCATAGTACAAGCATTGCTTAGTTTGTAAAAACGTGTCTTAAAATATTTATATTTATTTATTTATAATTTAATATGTTCACAAAATTTATAATATATCAGTGGCAGATTAATAACAATACAAAAACTAAACATCGTATTATAAAAAAAAAAGTGAAAAATAAAACGTGTCTTATGTCTTTATCTGAGGATATCCCGGATAGAATAATATGGCTCTAAGATTGGTGAGGTTGATTTTGCTAATCTTACGGAATATGGTTTTGTCACGCAAAACAATCACGGTATAGGCCTACTACCGACATTCTGTTGGGAAATTAAACGGAGCTCTTAAAATAATTAAACATAAAATCTTTTAACGTCTGTTTGGGCTAGTCATTATCGATAGGCACACCATTTATACATTTTCTTTCAACATTATTAGAAGTAAAGAGAAATTATTTAGCGAAGCCTAGTATGCACAAACAAAGCTATGTTTCAAATGTTTCATTAAAATGGTAGAGAAAAAGTAGAAAAAATGTAAAATTAAAGTAGAAAAAATGGACAAAGAGCAGTTCGCCAATGCGAGAATCGAACCAACGTCTTTCAAATTCGAACCCAGACGAAATGATTGCCGATTGCCACTTCGACAAAAATCTCAAGGCATTTTGTGTACATTGTTTTAGCAATTTATTTTTTGTCAATTTTAAGTAATTATCTAATTGTGGATATAAAATTTTGTTATAGAAGAGAACAAATTAAATGTACTAGTGGTCGCCTTTTGGTCGTAATTCGATCATAATTAATTACATGGTAGTCTGTGCAATGTTTTTTTATTGATTTAATGTATTTTTTATCCATAATAAAAAAATTATTAGCATCTGCACTCCTCTGTATAAACTATAAGTGTGGAAAATTTCATACTCCTCCGTCCGCGCAATTCTCGTAAAAAAGGGTACAAAGTTTTTGCTTCACGTATTATTAAATGTATAGGTAAGGACACACATGTTCCACTGGCCACTTTTAAATGCGACTTGCTGTCATATATGACAAGCCATTGGTTTATTCATATAATCAATATCATTGTCATGGACAAATAGACGTTCTGAACTGTATTAAAATATATTAAATTTAAAATCGGGCCGAGCGAGGAATCTTTTCGTTTTCAAATTCACAATATGAATGATTTTTCTACATTAGAAAAAACTATAGTGCGCGAATTATCATGTCGACTATGTCTATGCAACGACGTAATAAAATTAAAACCCCTAAGCGCTGAAACCAAGCGTAAGATAAAAGGTCTTTTTAATATAGTGGTACGTTTAATCTTTACAGTAATTGTACTGTAGGGCGCACTCCTCCGTTCGGTTTGAGTCACTAGGGTTTGAAAGGTAGGAATCAGGCTTGGGACTTAGTTTCAGGTTCGCATTAGTCTCAGGAAGATCTCTCGCATTATAACTCCAATGAGGTACTTTTCGATATTATGCGAAGAAAAATCAGTCTCACGTTTGAGATCAGTATACGACTGGCTTATCAACGGGTACATATTTTGACTCTTAATGTACCCGTAATTCGTTTATAATATTAGCTATCTCTGTCTACCTCGTTACCGTATAAACACATGGCAAATTATAATTCTCATTTTTCTTACTAGCTAAAAACACAGTAATAGACAACGAAAACTTAAGTGACGTGCACCGATTTCAAAGCTGATTGCATTCTATACGATACTGAAGGTTGAGCACTAGCTTTGGCTACTAATCTATGTATATGTAAAATATTGTTTATTACGGCTGTTATTTTTCGTGCACTGTTACCGTGCTTAAATTTTATTAGAAATATTTTTGTTTTTGCAGATTCGAACCGATGACAACCTTCCTAAAGCGATATGCCACGACTGTTTGCAACAAATTAGCGCACTGCACCTATATACTGTGAAAGTTGAGAAAGCCCAGAAGTTCTTAAACTTTCATAAAATGAAAAGTGAACAAAGGGAAACCATCGAGTTGATATCTGAAAAGAAACTGCACCCAATAATAAAAGCATTATCATCGCAAAACGTTCAGAGCGAGAAGCAAACAATGGCCGCTCCCAAATCCAAATCGAACACGTCCGAACGTCAACGAGGGGAGATAGATTCGGTAAAATGTAAGGAATCAAGAAAGAGAACTCGCTTGGAGATGAAATTTATGGAAGCAATGCCATTAGAGGAATTTGTAAAGACAGAACGCGTCGATGCCTCCCTCCTAATAAATCCCGCATCAAACGAAACGAAAAATTCACAAGTAGCTGAAGTATCGAGGAAAATAAATACGACGAAAGATAAACCCGAAGTAAGCATTGATTGTGACACGCTAGATTCTATAGTTCTAGTAGATGGTAGACCAGCGAAACAAGGTGCAGATTTGGATAAGCAGATATCACTTTTCTACAAAATGGAATGTTGCATTTGCCACGGAAAGGGATTCGACTTTCGATCCTTGATGAGGCATTATAAGGAACGGCACGGTGTACCCGGTTACGTTACTTGTTGCGACAAGAAGTTTCACTATTTTTATCCAAAGAAAATTATTGAACACATGGCGTATCACCTTCAGCCGAACATATTTATGTAAGTTCATTTACGACACAGTTTACTTCATTTCTAAGGACATGTTACAAATTTAATAAATGGGGCATTACATTATTGGTTACTTATCTACCATTGTCAGTTCCTATCATCTAACTGGCAACAACACCTTCCTGAGAGGCCGGCAACCCATTTGTGACTCCTTTGGTGTTGCGAGTGTCCATGGGCGGCGGTGAACACTTACAATCGCGTGTCCTGCTGGTTTGCCTCCTTTTCCATAAAAAACTCTGTTAGCTCATGCAAATCCAAATAAACAACAACACAAAAAAGTAGAACACATCCAAAAACTGGTCCGAGTCATCATCACGCTTGCTGCTGCAGTCATACAGAGTAAATGTAGGTTATTTCTATCATTCAATCTTCTTGAATGCGATACAACCTAAGAACTCGCCTTTTCGTTCACTCACCGTTCCTCACCGGAACGAAAAGGCAAAAAAAAAAAGGAATCTCACAAGCTACCGTCGTATAGTAAAGTACCTACTAACACTCGAATTTCGTCTTACGATTAAATTTTATAATATTTTTTTATAATGTTAATCTTTCTACACTAAAGATGAAACATTATAATTTTTAGAAAAAAGGGACGAAGTTTTTAATATATAACATAATACATAAAACTTTTTGTATAGTAAAGTGACAGCCTATAAATGTCCCACTGCTACGGGCAAAGGCCTCCTCTATACAGAGGGTATCAGGTCATAGTCCACCACGCGGCCCCACTGCGGATTTGTGGACTTCACATATCTTCGAAAAATTTTCTTGTTATTTTGAAATTAAATTTGCAGGTCACGATGTTTTCCTTCACCACTGAGCACGTCATAATGCAGCACTTAAACAAGTTCATTGGTGCCGGCACCGGGGATCGAACTCCGGTCGCTCGACTATATGGAATTAAAAGCGAGCGGCCTGGACAAGGAGCTATTAGATTATCACTTTTTGTATCAAGTTGACTTAAAATTTCAGGTGTCCAAGCTGTCACTACAATTTCCAAACTTCCCAAGAGTTAGTGGACCACGAAAGCAACGGCGGTCGGTCTGAAGGCAAGATCGCGTGTCCACGATGCACTGAACGGTATCCCACGTACCGTGAGCTGGGCCAGCATATACTATTGCATCGAACCGATAAATCAGAATGCGATTACTGCGGAAAATTGTACGTAGACCTAAATAGAATTTTCTTGTAAAGATGCTTTTATTTTGTGCCGCTCAATCTTGGAGATATTTATGTCGTAGAATATCGGGATTCGGTTCGTAATGGACGGAAGACTCCATGAGAGCGAACCATTTCACCGCATATCGTCTTAAAATTATTTTTATTTTGTGTACTTACAAAAGACATTAATCGTATAATGTTTAGAAGTTTTCAATCATGTAAAATAAAATCGGCGGGAAAGATAACACGGCATCGTTTTTGTTTTTTCAATGTAAAAAATTTTAAAAGTAAAGCTTGAAGTCTTATGTATACGAACATAAGACTCTTCGTTGTCTTTGTCAGTTTTTAAACACGACCGCATGGAGACGGTCGTGTACAAATCTGATGACTAATCGTAAGTTATTGGAAAGGGATAGATAAGATATTAATTAAAATAATAATTATAGTAATGGTCTTTATATACATAGTACCTTGTACTACTGCCGAAAATATTACTTTTATAAACTTTATGGACAAAATTAGCAAGGAATTGCTCACTCGGTACTCGCCTATTAGCATTATTTCCTGTCAAGACTGCATTACAATAATCGCACTTACAATTCTTGATGGTCAATTATTGCGTGCAACTTATTGCATTCAAGTATTGACATTTACGCCAGAACTAAGTGTCTCTTGGTAATATATAGAATAACAGGTTTAAATCGATTGTTACAGGCTTAAACATCACCACAGAAAGAAAACTGTTAGTCACATGGAAGACTTGATACTATGTTCGCAGTGTCTACGAACATTAAAAAATATCGAGAAACAGGACAAGGAAACAGTAAGTAGTTAATATAGTAACACAGTGTATTTTAATATATTTAATTGTGACCACTTACTCTAAATAAGAATGACTTCTCTACCCCGCAGAAGGAAAAATGGAAAAGCAAATGCAGCGACACAAAGAAATCGGAAAAATATCAAAGATTTTATAAAGCACTCGAAATTTCCGGCGACGACGACGCGTCCACGGAGTAATAAGAGTTATATCAAAATAACATGTCACACACTTAACACCTTTTTGCCATGACAATGTAAAAAATAAAATGTTAACAGTCTATGCGTACTTTATTGCCGACTTTACAAATTGCACAAACTAAACTGTTTTTCAGTCCAGCCTCCTCTTCTTGACAAGAGACCCGAGCAGATCTGAGATGGCGGGTAAGTTATTGGTCTGGTCGTTGGCGCCAGTGTTCAAATTAGAAAGTGGTATGTTCAACTGATTGGTTGTTGGCTTCTGCTGACCCTTCATGTTTCTATGCTGCGGGAAGCTTGGCATCAGTTTTGGATCACAAGCTGAAAGCAAAAAAAAATAGTTTTTTTTTGCTTATAATCACACACAAATTTAAAAAAAGGAGCAGAAATATGAATGAGAAGCTAAAGCAACGAAGTGGGTTCGATCCATGAAGTAGCGAAAAACTATTCGTCCGTTTTTTCTACAAATTTGAATGTTTCATATTAAGTGCAAAAATTAGAAGTATATTTCTTTCTATTTCACATGCAATGGCAACATCATTCTTGTTCAATATGTTTCATCGTATCACGTTCGAATAATCGTTATTTGAAGTTGCTTGTGTGCTGTAAGAGACATAGCAATAGACGCGCCAAGCATTGCTTAAAATGTAAATAAACAATGTAGATCAAATACGTTTAAGATTTTCGTCGGTGTGACAATCAGCCGTTTAGCTTGGTGGTGACTCTGGGCGCGAATCCGGAAGACGTGATAAAGTGTGGAAACGAAGAAAATCGTGAAAATTGACGTATAAATAGAATAACCAAAAATGTCTCTCCTAACTCGCAACTCCTAATAACATTCTCACAGTTGCATGTGATGATATAATTAGAAAACAAGTTTTGGAAGACTAGAACATGATTGGTATGGGAAGAACCGTCATAAGGATCTTGCAATTAAAAATCTATCAGACTCTCAGCAAACATCTATGGAACATTTATGGAATGGCATTTTGTTTCATGAAATATGAAGTCTGATATTCCAAAGTGCTAGATGCTCATTAAAAGACCTGAGGTAAAATTATACTAAAGAAATACTCACGTAAAGGTTGTTCCTTGAAGTATGAGCTCTGCAAGCACTCCTCAGCCGTGGCTCTCTTATTTGGGTCATACATAAACAGGAAATTAAGCAGCCGTAAACCTGCTGCTGATAGCCATGGAAAGCGTTGTTTCAAGTTGTTATAAGGTTGCTGTTTTAATGTAAAGTTTTGTAAAGCTGGCAAAGTACTAAATTCTGGCCAAATTGCATCTGATGGGGTGCCTAAAATAAAAAAAACATAATTTTAGCAATGCTCAAGCCAAAGACGTAATTGGTTTCAATAAAGAGATAAATTTATACGTACAAGTTAGATGTAACAATTACAATTGTATTACATAATATTGAAAGCTTAGAAATTATTTCTTGTGTAACTTAAAATGTGTAAACCTGCGCCCTTTGGGTAACGCGCCCGTAATGAGCCTCATTACGAGGCATATGCATCATCACATTTATTGTTAATAAAATAAGACCCATCCAGGTGTTTTCAATTATTTTTTAGTTTGTACCACTCAATTTATAATGCAAATATACACTATTTGTCTTTGATTGATTTCCTGATTCTCAATATGTTTAAAATAATTATTATTTTCTTTTTTTTGCATAAAATAGCTCTAATATATGTAATAAATCCAACCATGTACCAAAAGGTGTCCAAACAAGATAACAAGCAGGAGAAGGAGGTTAAGAGTAAATTGTTTGGTGAATTGAATTTATTAATAGATCTGACAACTCTGACTTCAATACCTGCTACAGTGTGTGGTTACAACCGCGACAATAAATGAACACAAATATAGAGAATAACCTTTTAAAATTGTATTAAGCATTTACATTCTTTAAACATCAATATTTACCGAGTTATTAAATTTTACAAAACAAACATTTTGAGAACACCCTTACATATAAAAATCAAACAAAGCATATGAATGGGTTGAATGAATTTAAAAGAGATAAAACATACCATTAGAAGGAGAGACTTGTAATGCGACATTGTGGCAATGAATTAAAACGTCTCTGAATGTATGAATCAGTCAGTTGTAGTTGTATAGGATGTTACAAATTTTGTTTCTTTTTTATTTAATTAATTAGTTTTAAAAATATATTTTTTTAATTATGTATTTTTTTAACGCTTTACATTTTTCTTATGATTGGCAAGCAGCGTTAGATGTGTGTTCATTTATTGTCGCGGTTGTAACTAAACACTGTATATATGATCAGATATTTGATAATGTAATAACAATAAATGGGTCAATCTACTCACCAAGCAAATCAACAATAAGTTCAAGTTGTTCAATTTCAGTTCTTCCGGGCAGCAGGGGCTTGTTAGCCAGTAGTTCACCAAGAATACAACCAGCAGCCCACATGTCAAGTGCAGGAGTCTGTTTTGGAGACTGCAATAACAATTCTGGTGCTCTATACCACAGCGTTACAACTCGCGGTGTTGCACTACGTGCAGGAGCGCCAAGCCAGCGAGCTAAGCCAAAATCGGCTGAAAGAACAAATTATTTGGGTTATATTTTATAATTTTAAGATAGACATATCATAATTTTCATTTTCACAAATTGATAAATAACTGTTTTGTTTGAATTATTACTACATATGCCGACTTTTTATACAACTCAGTTGAAAGAATGTGTCCACATTGCAATGTCCTAAAATGGTTCATTTTTGACATTTAGTTGTCAACATAATTTATAAAACATCTAAAATACTTGACATTTACAGACATCATCATCATCAAACATCTAAACATCTAAAAGACTTGACAAAATACTCCCATGACTGACATGACATTGGCAGAATTCTTTTAAGAGAGGCCATCAATCAAAGAAGAAAAAGAACAGAAGACATCTAAAATAATTTGTAATATATTACACAATATTATAGATGGATGCTTGGTATAGTTTTGCCATGAAGGATAGAATATATTATGAGCAAAAACAGCAGTATGCTCTATCTATCCAGAATTAAAAATCAAATTAAAAACTCAATAAATTCCGTAAACTTGTTTCATTTAATATGATCATAATGTTATTAAATGTAGGCTTTTTGCCTACCTTCCAATTTATAATAGAGTATTTAAAGATAATAAAGAAAAACAATTAAAATGAAGGTTTTTTTAATATACTGGCCTATAAGTTTCTTAATATTTACCTATTTTAACACATCCTTTATCTGTAAGTAACAGATTTGAAACTTTCAGGTCTCTGTGCACAATAAAATTTGAATGCAAATACTTAAGTCCTTTAAGCACTTGTAGCATCAAACATTTGACCTGTGACTCGGTGAAGGGTGAAGACATATTATCAAGCAAAGATGCCAGATCTTGCTCACAATATTCCATTGAAAGAAATATGCTAGAATATAAATATTTATCAAAATCTTAGTGAAGAAAAATATATTAATTCAACATTCACATTGCAAATGCAAACATTCTAAGCATATTTTTTAAATATAACAAACCTTTCCAAAGAACGCCCCACTAATACCTCCTTTAATTGTACAATATTTTCATGCCGACAAGCCATTAGTACTTGAATTTCACGAAGACCACTTAAAGGCAAGCCATCCTTTTCCACATCCATCCTTACTTTCTTTAATGCCACAATATTTCCATTCAACTTATCCTTTGCTCTATCTTCATAAAAATAAATATTAAGGGTTTTATCTTTAATAATATTTCATTAATAATAATGGGCTCAGATTTCCATTGACTTCCGTCAAGTCGAGGCTTGATATTTTTTTTGCAGAAAGGCTACATTATTATAAGCATACAAGCAGTTCAACATACGGAGATGTTCGGTCTCCTCACGATGTTCTCCTTCACCGCTGAGCACATGATAATTCAGGACTTGAAATTAACATTCTCGAGTATATTGAATTCAAGGAGAGCGCCCGGACACTGAGCTATCAGGGCTTTGAGAGAAAAAATATTGAAAATATTGAAAAACCACAGAATTTTCCCAGCATTGTTGCAAATTGATTTTAATTTAGTAGAAAACAAAAATAACACTAACATATTTTAATGCTGAAAAACATTTTTTTTCCCGTTTTTTTTACTTTTTAAGAGGATGGATGCCTGCAATTTCTTATGCAAGGGTGTAGAGGCTGCTCTTCCTGCAGCGCCAGAGTTGTTTTAGTCTCAGAAATCCCTCTGAATCAGTAACCCTATTGTTTTCTGATATGGTCAACCTCTTTCCCCTCTAAGAGGTTCCCCTTATTTTTTACACTTATTATTTTAATCTATAAAATGTGGAAAATTGTCTCAAATTAAAAATAAAAAAAAAACTAAAAAGGGGAGGAGCTCCGCAAGTTTACTTTATAAGGGAGGGAGGGTAATACCCCCTCCTCGCCCCTCCCCCACCTCCTCACCCGTCAATAATTCGACGGAAGTCAATGGAAAGTCGTTCCTAATATGTAATGTGTTGCATTATTATTATATGATACTTACAAACAATACCATAAGTGCCTTCGCCGATGCGATTTAACTTTTCAAATTCTCCAACAAATCTACATCTGCCCAACTAAAATTTTTAAATGACAAATATTAAGAACTGCTACGCTAATCGCATTTAGGTTAGAATTTCAAAACTTACTATGTCTTTTTCAGGTATTTCCATCGTCTTTCCAGTTCTAAATGATATAAGAACACCTTTACGGGCTGCTGGCCCTGTAGGGTCTGCAACATCTTGACTCGACGGCTTTTCGGAATCTAATAATAAACAAATTACTTAGCGCATTATTTTTACAAATTTATTAGAAAAATATATGGTTATTTACTTTGAGACATATTTAAAATCCGTAAGAATTCAATGAGAAAAAGGTGTCCAGATATTCAGTACAATAATAAGTATAAAGGTTTTTCTGTATTTTTTGTGTTCCGTAAGTCCGGTCAAACAAAATACAAATTAACATTTGCTCCGGCGCCCACAGATTGAAAATTGAATAATATAATTATAAACATAGATGATCAGCAGCAGGTAGGGATGCCGAAAAAATATTAATATATCGACATTTGTTATAAATATATCGATATTTTTGGCCGATATTTCGATATATCGATATGAAAATTCAATATCAAAATCGTATCAAAAACTTTATTTTTGTTCAAACTGATTCAAAGCCGTAAATGATAAAAATAGACGAATAGTCTATTGTCTATGACTAGTATTGTCGCGGATGCAGTGTTGCATTTTGTATTTTAATCATGGTATTTATACTACAATTTCATGCTTCGTATTTTATACTATCCATATCTATGTACAACATGGTATAGAAGTGTTAAAAATCGATAATATTTAACTACATGTTAAGCTCATTTATACGTAGCATGCAAAATATTAATGCCATCAAATAAATTTATTTTCATTTAAAGTGAACAAAAATTTAATTATAATCAAATTCTCAATAATTAAATGTCACATTATATACACACCGGCACAATTAGCGGAACAGAAAAAAAAAGTGAGACTATGAGATAATAACGCATATATTTGACGAAAATGTAATTAGACACAAAATAACAAATTGATTAACATCTTTTAACAACGACTTTGAAAAGTCTTCGTTATTTTTTATTGAAAAATAAAGAAATTTTAAATAAGTAAAATTTTTAGATGATTATGAACCATCACAAAAAATAAAAAAAAGTAAGCATTAAATGATTTAACAATAAAATTAAAGCAAAATTAATAACGAGTGTTTCCCCCTCGTGCTCTGATTACGGTTTCCATTCGTCTGGGCATGCTACAGATTATGTTATCGCTGATTTCTTGAGGCAACCGCTCCCACTCCTCAAGTAATGCGTTTCCAAGTTCATTCAGATTGTTGGGGGGTGGCATTCTGGATTTAACCCTTCTTTTTAGCAAGTCCCAGACATGCTCTATTGGATTCATATCGGGGGAATTTGCTGGCCACTGTATCACCGGTATAGCTACGTGGCTCAGATATGCCTGTACCGATTGTGCATTAGAATAAAGTCGTCACCAATAAATGGGGCAAATGGTACAACATGTTCTTCTAAAATGTCTCTGATGTATCGATCCGCGGTCATGGTCCCTCCTGTGACTATCACTAACTCCGTGCGAGCTCCCAAACATATCCCTCCCCAAACCATAATCGAGCCGCCACCATAAGCCACTGTGTGTTCAAAATTAATAAAGAACTCTGCACTCATCAGTAAAGAGAACCTGCTGCCATTCGTTCAAATCCCAATGACGATGTTCTCGCGCATAACTTAATCGGTTTACGCTGTGACGTCTCTCAACTTTTGGGCCTTTGGCAGGTATATACGACCCTAAACCAACTTCTTCAAATCTCCTGCGAACTGTACGCTCACTTACTCGTACTCCTCGAACATCTTCCAGTTCATTTCGAGCTTGTACAGCCGTTAATCGCGTATTCCTACGACCTCCAAGTTAATTTTGCTAATCTAGGCGTGTCTTTTAGGACAAGTCTCGGCGGATTCTTTTTTGACCCACTAACTTCTTTTTTTTTAAAAAGTTACTTTTTTATTGCTTATTTTTGGATTCGGTCGATGTAACTCAATAAGCTGTTTGTTTTTTTTTTCCAATAATGGTCTTGATAAATAATATACCTATAAATTTAGATTATTAAAGGATATTTGATTAAAATTAATAAATAATTAACGTTTTATTAAATTTATCCTTCATTAAAATAATGTGAATTTGCTATAAAAATTACTAGTACTTAATATTGAATCAGACTGAACTTCATACATTATTTTTTTAAAACCTAAAATTTGACCGACATATCGATATATCGATATTTTTTTCGATACATCGAGGCAGATATTGATATGTTTATAGATATCGAGATTTATTTATATTTTTTCGACTTTCGGTATCCCTAGCAGGGCTGAATTTAGGTATGATGAAAAAGTTAGAAATATTTTTTTTAAAAGATAGTATTTGTAAAAAAATAATAGTACACTTTATACTTTTGATTTTAACATATAATAGGTTATGTGCCCATATATATACATATATATATATATATATATATATATATATATATATATATATATATATATATATATATATATATATATATATATATATATATATATGGGCATTAATTTATTCCTCTTCCAAGTTCAACAATTCTTCAATATTAAATTCATCCTTGGAATTTAATTTCATCTTTGATGGCATCAAAACACAATTAAATAGCGTCTATGGATTACGTTTATTTATACATCAATGGACTATATTTCAGATATTATAGGTTGTTAACCTCATAGTGCAATATGCAAAGTTACTCTTCAACAAACTAAGTATAGAAAAACAAAAATCAACGGTAAGTCCCCGCAAATAGTGCATTGATAAAGATTATTTATAATCCGTGGTAATAATTGACATTGACAAGACGGTCTCCACTTTATATTGTTTAAAAAATTACAACGTTATTACAACCTAATAAACCTATTTCAATGTTAGATTGGCTTTGTTTGGATTGTTAGATTTGGTCATTTAGGTAAATTAACGAAATTATAGTACATTTCCCGTACTATCCTTACATATGGATAATGTATAGTACGAAGCATGAAATTATAGCACGAATACTATAATTATAGTACAAAATCCTACCCTGATCAGCAGGGTCTTGAAAATGGGGAATCTGTCCGACACTAGCAAAAAATCTACGAAACTCAACTCCAAAAAATGCCACCTTATTATTGTATCGTTGGAGACAGTGCAGTATAATTAATGAAAAAGACATTCTTTCGCATGAGGCATTTAACATATTCTTCTTGGTATTTCCCTCAATGCTGAAGATCGTGACTCATATTTAATTTGTCAAGGAGTTGTCTCCATCTTATTCGCCTAGTGGAGTGCGGCGCTTATGGGGATTTCTATGTCTTCAGAAATTTGATCAACCTTACGATTACGGCCTCTAGGTCTTTTAACCTGTATTTTCCCCGTTTGAAAGAGGCAAACTTCAAAAAGCTTTTGCAAAGTTTTTAAAATTTTGTTTTTACTTGAAAATCTCTTTCGGAATAATATCTGGTAATTACTGCAAGCAATGATGTGCTTGTGACTAGTTTACAATTGCAAGCTTTGCAAAATGCAACATCAGGATTCTTAGCACTGGAAATCCAGGAAGAAAGGAAAGGATCTTGTTCCCACTCAGGTCGACACGAACGCTCGATTTTCTCTTCATCTTACACGGAAGGCACAACTACACACATTAAATGTAAAAATAGAATAAGGTATAGAATAATAGAAAATTTGAATATACAACAGACATTGACATGAAAACTCGATCAGTTATTCATTAATAACAAAATAAACCTAAATGCTGATTTGTTACCGTTCATAATCATTATTTTTGACGTACCTATATTAACATACAATAACCGGGATATCCCCTTACCATACATATGGGACGAAGTTCCCACATGAGAAAATGACTTGCTACCAAATAATAACAAAAGTAAATGATAAGACATAAAATATTATAAGTATTTTAAGTACAAATATCAATTTATATAAATGTATTTAAAAAAAAGCGTGTGTGTGTACTTATTTACACGCTTTAGAAGTTATACTTCTTTGGCGTAACAAGATAAAAATCTTTTCAAAATTTTTATCTTTCGCCTTATTCTACGTTTGTATAAAAAACTACACTAACAATAGAAAAAAGGTATTAAATACATTGAAAGTTTTATTATAATGCATATCTAGTTAAATAAAGTTTATTAAAATATAACAAAATAAATATCGTGAATAAAGTTGTCAGTTCTTACGCAAATATATGTAGATGCCTAGCTAACTTGGGTGTCGGTTTTTCGTGACGGTCTGCGCGCACATCGTATAAATTTACTCTCATAATTTTTCCCTAATGTGCCAAAAGAAGTATAACTTCAATAATAAAGATTTACTTGAAATCTGCCAAAGTCTGCCACTTTTTTTGAATCGTCAGCCTAATTTGCCTCAGCTAAAATTTTGGTGCAAAATCTGCCCAAATGGCAAAAATCTGCCACAAACGGTCACACTGTAGGTGTAAATGATACATAATTATTATATTGATAATAAACAAGACAGTGTCGATAACCCTTGTTTGTAGCTGAAACTTGAAATATGAGCAGAGTAGGATTTTGTACTATAATTATAGTATTTGCACTATAATTTCATGCTTCGTACTATATACTATCCATATCTAAGGATAGTACGAAAACGTACTATATTTTCATTACTTAACCTAAATGATCAATATTATATCATTCACTGCTAATCCAACATTAAAATAATAGTGTACTATATTTTTTGTCAAATACTTTTAAATTTTTTGTACTATCTTTTTTACCGCACCTAAATCCAGCCCTGAATATGATTGTCCTAGATTTCAAGTTTCAACAAACGGTTCATCGTCGCGACACCCACCGCCACACCCAGCCTCTTTTAGTTAAATTGTTCTGTGCCCACCCCTAACCCCTTACTTTATTGACAGCTGTCACGCATATCAATAAAATTAGGGATGGGCAAGTAAAAAATCGTAGAAAAAAATATCGATAAATCGATATATTTTTTAAGGTTTTTTTTATATATTTTTTATAATCCCAAACCATTAAAAATTTGTGAAAAAGAATAGACATGGAGGAAAAAAATGTTTATTAATATTCGACTCAATCAAATACAATTAGTCGAACCAATAATCATCTGGTATTGCTAATCCAACATTAAAATAATAGTGTACTATATTTTTTGTCAAATACTTTTAAATTTTATTCGAACCAATAATCATCTGGTATGGACATTAGGAGCACCCTCTGTTTAATATGCTTCCATGTCAAACGGCTTCTATTGTTGGATACTGTCAGATTCACAGCTGAAGTAACTCTTTCTGAAGACACCAAAGAAGCCTGGCAAATACGGGGTGACTTTTGAATTTAACTTCTTTTTAAGGTGTTTTTTTTTTGTAAATTTATTAATTTGTAATTGTATAAAATTATAAAATATTAATTAGTCAGACGATTTGGACTCATTGAACGTCGCAGCGTTAAATAAAATCAAGCAAACTGACCTAAGTACTAGCTAAATAGTTGAAGAATTTAACTAGTTGATCAACTTCACATGATACTGAAGTTAGCAGACGTCTAATAATATTTGAAACTTTTTCCAACGATAAATTATATAAAAAAAATTGTAGTTTTTAGATTATTTACAACATTTAATCTATCTAAAATTACATATTATCTAATAAACCACGCGGCATGGTGCCAAGAACGCTAGCTGCATTTCCTCGCTGAATAGTTGTGCAATTGTTTTGTCTTTTTTTTGTAACTTTTTTCATTTGTTGTAAAAAAGACATGAAAATTGTATATTTGCTGTTACATTATACTTCTCACACTAATCGTTTAATAGTGTTAGTTATTATTATTAGTATTTTGTACATGGCATTGCTAGGCCATATAATCTTTATTAAAAAAGTATTATCGTGCACGCATCTAGTAAAACACCAAACCATTGTTGCATTAAAAATATATCGAAATTAACACGAATTCGATGAACGAAAATAAATATCATACATCGGGAATAAAAATATAGACGATATATATCGATATTTATTTAGAAAAATATCGATATTTTTTGCCCATGCTGTTATCAATAATAATGGCACTTGCAGTGCCATCGATACTATCGGTAGTATCGACAGTATCGACACATGACAATACTATCGATAGACTACCCATACTATACTATTGCTTTTAACTATAGATAGATAACCGATTGTCTATCGATAGAAGATTATCGATATGCAACACTATCAAGCAAAATTTCACAAAATATATTTTAAGGTAGGGATGCCGAAAGTCGAAAAAAAATATCGATATGTCGGTCAAGTTTTCAGTTTTAAATAAATAATGTATTTAGTTCAGTCTGATGCAATAATAAGTTATAGTTATAAAATAAATTCACATTATTTTAATAAATTAGAAATTTTAATAAAACATTAATTATTTATTAATTTTAATGAAATTTCTTTTATAAATCTAATTTTCTAGGTATATTATTTATCAAGACCTTCATTAGAAAAAAAGAAACAGCTTATTTAGTAAGATAAATCAGTTTCTTTAGCCCTGAATCGAATCAAAAAATAACTAATAAAAACATGTAACTTTGTAAACAATTTAAAAAAAGTTGGTTATGTGGTTAAATGATAAATATTTTAATAAAGTCAAATAATTTATTTATGAAAACGCGATATCATATTATGTGACATTTAATTATAATTAATTTTTTGTTCACTTTATTTACAATACATATTAAATTAAAGAAACTTTAGTTGATGCCATTCATATTTTGCATGCTATTTATGTAGTTCAATGTTGATGGTTTGTAACACCTCTATACCATGTCGTATCTTAGATATAGAGAGTATAAAGTATGAAGCATGAAATTATAGTCTAACTACCATAATTATAATACAAGATCACTGCATCCGCGACAATACTAGTGATAGACAACAGTTTTTTTCCCCCTTTTATGACTTTAATTAGTTTGAATAAAAATATCGTTTTTGATAAGATTTCGATATTCAATTTTTTATATAGATATATCACATAAAATATATCGGCCAAAAATATCGATATACCGATATTTTTTCGGCATCCCTATTTTAAGGTTAATTATATAAATATAAATAAAACTTTTTATGTTGAGGATTTAAGTAGGTTATTTTAAACTATAAAAGTTTTAAAATGTGTCTTAATAACTAATGGAGTTTACAAAGAAAACACTCGCTGCAGTAGGTCGTGTGTGGAGGACTAAAGTGTAAGCCAGCACAAGTACTTTACGTATATTTTTAATGATATAATTGATTAAATTCTTTGTTTTTCTAAATGAAATAAAAAAAATTCTATACATTTAATCAAAATTTGTTTTTTTTCCATTAGCACTGGGTGTTTTTTGACCTAACATAAAAAATTATTCGGTCATGTTACTTTCACTAAGAAAGTCCGCCAAAAATTTACCAATTGAAATTATAGTTAATATTCAAGCTTTACAAACATTAATTATACATGTTAAAGGAAAGTAGTTACAGGACAGACCTTCTGTGTTTACCATGACTATCAGTGCAGGATTATGCTGCAAGCATGGCCCCGTAGCAATTTCTTTCAAACAACCCTTGATCTGCTATGGGTTCAGTACATATTGGTAAAAAAAGTGAGTGTAATGCTCCTATGTTGAATAAATAAATTTGAAAAAAAAACTTATTTAATGAGTTGACTCAAAAAATTAAGGTTTAGGCTGAGATGAGTGGGTTTAAACATGCGAGGCCCCCTTCGGCGCAGGTCCTGTAGCAATTGCTACTCTTGCTACGTGGTTAATCTAGCACTGATGACCATGAGCCCTGGAAATGGTTTGAAATGTTGGGAATTAAAAATAAAAATCAAAATTAAAACATGATAAAATCTGTAAACTAGTTTCAATTAACATGAATAAACTAAATGAATTAATTCTAAATTTTAGAATGAGATTTGGTGTTTATAATAAAGTACTTCCGGTGGAAACCACACATAGTAGAAGAGTGCCCGATCACATTGCAAAACCTGACTATGTGTTACAAAATGGAACATTGCAGATACCAAAGAGACCTGAAGTTAAATATGACAATCAAATAAATGGAATGAAAGAAAGCTGCAAATTAGCAGCATCAATCTTAAATCAATTACATGCATTTATTAAGGTAGGTCAATTTTTTTTTGCAGGACTAAGCCATGTTTTAAGCAATTATTAATCAATACATCTGTACTAGAGAAGGAACCAGCTTACTTCAATACCTTTTTAAAATCTTGTAATGGAGCCTCTTGTAAATATTATTAGTAATATAGATTGATTCATAATTCATAAGTTCTGATTCATAATATTAAACATAGAGAAGGGTGGAATAAAATAGAAATATTTATGCTTTGGCATAATGTTAGTAAAAACCAAAGGCTTACAATGCATGAACAACTCTACTAGTATAACTCATGTCTATATAAAGTATTTATATAAAGTTATGTATTAAGTATTTGTATTATTGTAATTTTTGTTAAATAATTTAATAGCCAGGTTTAACAACAGATGATATAGACGAGTTGGTCCACAATTTTACTATTGAGGCTGGTGCATATCCATCACCATTACATTATCAAGGCTTTCCAAAGAGTGTGTGCACATCTGTGAATAATGTAGCTGTTCATGGTATACCAGACCTTAGGCCACTACAAGATGGTGATATCATCAACATAGACATAACAGTAAGGTTTAAATCCTATATCTAAATTAATACATTTTATACCTGAAAAGCACAATTGTTATCCTCTGACCATCCACCTGATGGTAAGTGAATACCGCCACCTATGGAAATCTGCTAAACCCAAGGGTTCCAGATGCGTCGACAAACTTTTGAAAATTGGGCTCCATTATCATATATTAATAGTTAGTCATATGTATATATTTATAAATGATAACTCTACTGGAATAATCCACAACAACCCCATAGTTAATTGGTTACACATATATACAATTTAATTACATTACCAATACATTTCTACATTATTTCATAACCTTAATGCTGTAAACATATTTTTATTATATTTAAAAAAATATCAGCAAGGTACTATAATTTGTAACTTACTTTAATATGAACACATTGAAACTTATATAAACTTAATGAAAGCTTTGACAAATTCAAAGCTGTAAGAAAGTAAGTTTTAAATATCATAATATTGACAGATTAAAAACAATATTAATGGTGGATTTGAAAATATTTCAGGTATTCTTCAAGCAATACCATGGCGATTGTTCAAAAACATTTCTAGTTGGTAATGTAGATGACAAGGGACAAGAACTTGTTCGTGTTACAGAAGAATGTTTAGAGCTTGTGAGCACTAAATTATAAGAAGTTATGTAGCTATTTCATTTGTTTGCAAAATTTCTAGTAAATTTGGGTTTCCTTTTTAGGGTATAAGGTGTTGCGGACCAGATGTACCATTTTGCCATATTGGTTCTAAAATATACCGGCATGCTAAAAGAAACGGTCTCACAGTGTTACCCGCCTTTTTGGGACATGGTATTGGGCAATATTTTCATGGACCTCCAGAAATATACCATACATGTAAGTTATATAACATTTTCAGTTTCAATTGCAATGCCAGAGTAAGTTGGAATGACTATATTTTTTATTTTCTTCGAACAGTAAATCGATATCCTGGACTGATGAAACCTGGAATGACATTCACAATAGAGCCAGTTCTTTCACACGGAAACGAAAATACAGTCTTACTGGAAGATGGATGGACCATCATAACAGAAGATGGTGCCCGCACTGCACAAGTGGAGCATACAGTGCTGGTAACTAAGGATGGTGTAGAGATACTTACCAAATAAATGTTGTAGCAATTATTTTTAGCACCTACTGTTATTATTATTAATATAGTAAATATTTGAATATTCATTATAATGATAAATCGAGAATATACTAGTTTGAACCCCTCAGAAATAAAGGCCTTTGTTAGATTGGGGCCATTTATTAATTCAGTAATTTATAGTACAGTGGTATTGGTAAAAAATTAAACTTAGTATAACAGAACACACTCTAAACCTATTTTTATGGAACCCACATTCAATGGTACAATTTAGTTACTCTACAATTTAAATAGACACAAAAAATATTATTGGAATTATTTTAGAATTATACCCTGACTTCGACTGCGTTGCTTATTATATTAATAATTATACCACTTGACCCAAGTCTCCAGGGTTAGAAAATACATATCACTGAACATGCAGTGTTTACAAAAATCAGTTTCTTGGAATTTTTGAAGTTATACTTCTTTTGGTACATTTGGAAAAAATTATGAGTTTTAAATTTTTACGATGCGTGCACACACCAACCCTTAAAAAGCAAATGAATACTTCTTTACGCTAAAGAAGTATAACTTCTTACATGTGTAATAAGTACACACACGTATTTTATATACAACACACAAGCACACAAGGGTCTAAGAAATAAAACTTAGAATTGTGTGGGTTGTGGGTCACACTGAAAGTTCTTAGAAAATTATAAAACGGCTTAATGTAAAAGTTACCAATACTTTTATTGTTTTTCGAAGTTGTCTTTGTTCTTCTCGGTAACCACTAGGAAAAGCAGTGGGCCGATTGTACCTTATGGGGCATTTTCTATCGCACTTAACGCATCTTCAGGCCTCGTAAAATGAATAACTTATAGTTTATCTTTGATTCTTGGAAATAAATCGAGTCGCTGGGTGACAGGTCGGGAATATAATATGGCGTATGTCTCATTATCTTGACACCTGCCATAGTCACATATTATTCAATTGTTCGTTTCGCGGAGTGGGCCAAAGCTTTCTCGTGGTGAAGGAAAAGCCTGCTACGCGCATTTTCCAAGAAAACAGGAAAACAACATTCGACATACAGTCTGCAGTAACTGCCTTTCTATATTCAAGCACAAGGTAGCAACCGAGCTGGTGAACCTGATGTGTAGTGATAATCGCCGTCCATGGAAATTGACGCGTTGCCTCCTTTTGATAAAGTGCGCCCCGGTCACCTCACTCACCAGACGAAACGCAGAAGTATAAAACTTCCTGTTCTGTTCTATGTCCTGTTATGTCTGTTCTGTGATCTTCTTAATGATCAGAATGATCAATTCAAAAATTTTAACCATCCTTTTGGCAACTCAAATGACATTTCACAGCTGATCATGATGATCAGTGCAGAAACCGGGCGTAAGCATCCTAATATTTAATATATAAAATTCTCAAATGTTTGAAATTGAACTCCTCCGAAATGGCTCGACCGATTTTCGTGAAATTTTGTGTGCATATCGGCCAGGGTGGAGAATCGGACAACATCTATTTTGCATCCCCCGTAATGTTAAGGGTGGTCCACCCCAAAAATTTTTTCTACCCTACAAATAATTTAAGTTATTGTATACTATCTGACTCTGCAAACATTGTTTTGATATATAAATTATTACTAGGGAACTTGTAGGGTAGAAAAAATGTTCGGGGTTGACCGCACTTATCATTTAGAAAATCAATTTTCTATGTCTTCAGATTCCCTGAACACACAAATAATTTTCGAAACGCACGCATAATATGTTGTAGGAACAGTTTCTATGGAAAAATAGTATTTTTGCTATTTCAATTTTCTATGCAATTTTTCCATAATTTCTCGTCTCCTGGACTGCCACAAATATTTCAAAACCAAAATGAGCCAAATCAGTCCAGGCGTTCTCTAATTTTAGCGAGACTTACGAACAGCAATTCGTTTTTGGACAATGAATCAATGAACACACGTCTAACACTACTTGCCAATAATCATAAAAAATATTAACGTTAAAAAAACCTTAATTAAATAGAAATATTTTTCAAACAAACTAATTAGGTAAAAAAGAAACAAAATTTGTAACACCTATACAACTACAACTGACTGATTCATACATTCAGAGCATAGATAAGACATATATACTGAAATACATACATATATACTGATTCAGAGCCTTTCTATCGTTGCCACAGCGCCGCATTACAAGGCTCTCCTTCTAACAGTATGTTCTGTCTCTTTTAATTAATTCATTCAACCCATTCATATGCTTTCTGACCTTTACAAATGAACTTTACGTTACAGTATTATACGTAAGGGTGTTCTAAAATTCTTTGTTTTGAAAATGTAATAACTCGGTAAATATTGGTGTTTAAAGAATGTAAATGTATAATACAATTTTAAAAATTTATCCTTTATATGTGTGTTCATTTATTGTCGCATTGTAAAGACACGCTGTATATCTAGAAGATATCATATTATGTTACCAAGGAGTAATATAGAAATATTCAAAACAAGAAGTCTTCATTGGCAATGTTTCTAAAGCAGCTAAAAGACTATACGATAATTATGGCCCTTTTTCAGTTAGGTTAGTCCCTTAGTAAGGACAAGCGTATTTATTCGCAGTTAGGGCCCTAATTATCGGGGATAGACTAGTCACGACTGCCCTAAGTCTTTTCATAGACTGTTAGGGCTCTTCCTAAGGGCGGTTATAATCATAGGGAGTTTACTAACTTAGCGCTCGATGCGAGCGAATGTGTGCTTTACCTGAGAGCAGGGATTGACATGATTTAATATTTGACATGATTAATATCTATGTTGTATTAAATCGTTGACATGAGATCCTAACTTTCATTAATTTGTTAGGAAATGTTCAAAAATTTGTAAAGGGTTTGTATTTTAGCTAAAGCAGTAAGTAGTAAAAATGTCCTCAAATAAATTTAAAACGACAATGAATGTAATATTAAGCAAACTGGCAAAAATAATGAAAAAAGGCGGATTCTACATGTAAACGGCAACTTTATAGATGAAAATTATATATTAATTGCAATTAACTTATTAAATGTTTTCAAAAAAATTACAGTATAATTGAATTGAATGAATAAGTTTTTAAGTTTTGACTGACCTGCTATAATTAAGAAAACTCGAAGCAAAATATCACTGATAACTAATATTACTGATATAACTTGCCTTTGGAATAAAAACCAACCAGATTATAAAATAAATCGCCTATTAAAATTTGTTGAAAAAAGAACGAAAAGTTTCTCGCCGTGCGCTGTGGAAATCGAACCTAGACTTGCCACACTAACGAAATTCACTACGTCCTTTATCTACATTGTTTTTTAGCATTTGAAGCAATGCTTGGCACATCCATTGTTATATCTTTTCCTGCATACAAACAATTTCGAATATAGTTTTACAACGATATTCGAACGAGAGATGTCGCCATTGCTTTTTAGAAATTTAAATTTTTACTGTGGCGACTAATCAGTGGCGACAATGTTTTCGTACTTTTCGTGTTTTTTCTATAAATTTTAAAAACCGAAATTACTTTCGTGTCAACCTATAAAAAAAGGGCACTAATTAAATCAGAAGGTTCATCAGGTCGATTTCTATGTACCAAATGATTGTTTTATAATAGTTTTGCAGTTTTTCATTGATTTTTTTTTCTCTCCAATTTTTATGATATCCTTAATTATCTTATTCTTCTTATATAATTATGTTAGATCTTATTCTTACGTTTTTTTTGTCGGGAAATCCGTTATGGATACCTGAGCTCCCTGTAGGGGAAACCCGGGTTATGTGGGCATAGACATAGCTCAAGACCGATTCGAGCCATCGAGTCGTACTCATAAGGGTCGTTTTGCAAGACATTTAGGACTTGTACCTGCATTGGCCCGCTGACTTCTCAGCGACCGCTGTCTCCTGATGGTAAGGGAGAACCATTAATATTTAAAGGACCATGAAGAGATTCACGAGCATCTCTGCGGCCCCGCCTCCGAGTGGTATCCCTCCACTCTTTCTCTCGGTCAGCAGCCTCCTTCTGGACCATTACTTTTTCACAGAAGGTCGTTACGGCGCTGCATGTAGTCTCTCCACTCAGCATCGCTGACATGACTGCTTGCAGAGAGAAGTCCCGTCCTTCTTCACCCGTAAGGGAAGTCCGTTACGATTCCCAAGCCGGACAATTCGCCATGGTATGTGATGCAGAGTCCTCATCTCTCCCTCCGCAATATTTGCAGCTCGCGGTCGTCTCACGCTCGATCTTATACAGATAATTTACCGAAACATCCATGTCTGGTAATCGTCTATGTAAGTCTGTAGGTGAGTCTACCTCGTCGATCCATCCAGGCTTCGAACACCGCTATCAAAGCTTCAATAAAGGGTTTCGCGCATAACGCTCTTCGCAGAATCGAGCGCGCTACGTCGCTAATGCGTTTGGTTCCCGCTGTTTAATTAATTGGAACGCCTCTTCTGGCTCGTTTCCACCTTTCTGACAGAGGATGCGGATTCGATGATAAACCCGTGACGGGTTTATTGCCGCCGCTTCAAAGGATGCAGTTCGATACCTTTAATTTAAGGCGACGAATAGCAAGCCTATTAGCCCATACTGGCGCCCCGTATAAGACAATGGATCGCACGAACAGTGCATAGATGCACGAAACACTAATCGGTCCTCAAGATAAGCTGTACCCTGCACATGGCACCCTCTAAATCGGGGGGACGAGGTGCTTAAAATGTTACAAAGCCCTGTCTACTGTCCAGATAAAGTCCCAGATTCTTACGTACATGGAGGATATTTGAGAAAAAAAGTACATTATAGATTAAATTTCACTACAACCAAGTAAAAGAAAATCTTTTTTCCATTTAATAAATGCGCACTTACTTAGTTGCTAACCCAATAGTTACATGTTGACCAAATAAAAAGGGTATGTAAATGTAGATTTATCTTTGATTATAAATTATACTTATCAAACAGAGATTTCCATTTGGAGTACCGACAAACTTTTTGTAGACCGAGCTGTGGTTTGATGTAGGAGACCTTACTGTTATTTATTTTTTATTTGAAATTGTGTTTCAGAATAAAACAATCAAGTAACTTAAGTGTTTTATTTGTAGCCTTAAAATTTCTTAAAAGAAAACGTAACATTTTACACTAAAAGCACAAGCATAATAATTATCACTTGTAGCCATCTCAGTCATTAGTTTAGAAAATTTAAAGGCGTAGAAGGAAGGTATCGATTGAATTATTTAGCAATAGTAGATAAAATATGAATAAAGGAAGGCGTAACCAGTGGGACATAAACACAGCAGAGTCTTATATCGCTCGACACATTGGATCCCACCACAACCATTCGTAATAATGACTTTGGTCCCATATTGTATCCAGCTACGCCTTGAATGATAAGTGCTAGTATGGTAAATATAGTAAGTCTTAATAGTAAGATAAAAGAGAAATCGTTGACTAGATTTTAGGTCGCTTACACGATAGAGCTTTAAAAGAAACCGCTTATTGTTAGCTTAAAACTTAAGTATATGCAAGGTAGTTCGCGTTTCGTGAGAATTAATTAATGACTAGGAGGTAAGAATTTAACTTTGAACACAGATTAAAAACCCTGCAGAGAACACATAAAATTATATTATGCGTAATAAAGTGAAATGTTTTTACGTGTGACGTCATACTGACTGTAAAAAAACTTTTTGATGTTTATGAATTTATCTGTTAATAAAATGACTAGCACTTCACAGTTCACATACTTAAAGTGGTACAATAAAATTTAATGTGTAATTAATATAAACGTATCTTGTAAGAATATATTATTTCTTATATTTATGTACATCTAACTTATATATTGTATTTATGGATTTATTCCAATAATTAACATTAGTAAATAAGAGAAATGCATGATTTAAGTAATGAACAAATTCAACAATCTATATTGTATCATCTTTTCAGACGCTCATTAATATTAAAATCAATATTGAATTGTGTTATAACATTTGATAGGTATAGATTTGTGAACCTCGTACATTGTAACTTCATTATAATAACTTGTAAGTTTATATGTTTATCCTAATGGTGCTAGGGAAGGTTAAAAAGAGTGTATAAAAAGTTAATACAAAATTATTAAATAGATTTAACAACATACAAAAGCTACTTCGCGATCATATACATTATAATTATACTTAACTGGTAGTTATCACCAAGAAGTAATATAATTCACAAAAAACGGTAATTTTGGTTTTATTAAACATTCGAATAAAACGACATAAAAGCCAATCTGCAAATATTAAAATTTGTACATTCAGAAACATTTAAATGACAATAATTCGGTATGCCTAGCATTATATGATAAACATTATTATTTATTTGTGCTTTGCGAAAAATAGTTGCAACTTTTAAGACGAATTAATTCGAAAAGTGATTATAACGGAAATTTAATATTTTAGATATACCTCATAAAAGTTATCTTTAATCGAAATAAACATGAGCGCGTGCTCAAACACTATTGTCGAGAGCCTGCGTGACTTCATGCATAAAGTGAAAATAAAAACGCGACGAAACCATTATAAAATCTAACTTGCGGGTCAACACGCATATCGTGACTAAAATTTAACGAGGTGTGTATAATTTTTTCCGAACATTTGAATATCTGTATTCATTATATTATGAATTAAACCTAAATGAAAGCTATAATGAGGATGTTAATTGATGACCTAGATTGATTTTTATACTAGACATACCCACAAGTGTGCGATATTATTTAAAAAAAAAAAAAAATAGAATTACAAATAGATTACAGTATACAAGGGACTTATAATTTTTTTCACAACGAGTAGGAAGGGTATACTTATACTACTACAGAGGTAAGACTTTTTTTTTTGTAATGCTAGATGTAAGGTATTAAATGAACAAATAAATACATTTTTGAATATGAGTTAAAATTAAAAGGATGTACTTCCTTTCAAGTATTTGGTAACAATAAAAATAACTTAATAATAGCGATGTTCCGGATATCCGTATCCGTATCCGCGGATATCCGTCGGAAAAAAAAGATCCGTATCCGTATCCGCTATAATTTTGACGGATCTTTTAAGGATCTTTACCGCTATAATTGCAATAAAATGATAATTCTAATTAAGTAAATTAATACACCGTGACACTCAAAGTATTAACTTTTTAAAATCACAGTGACAAAGGAACGGTAAATTGTACTTCAGAAAGAGTAACTTGACAGCAGTGTCCCCCAAGTCATGATAAAAAATGAATATGTGCGAGCAATATAGTTATCTAGTCCCAAACTAAGCAATGTTTGTACTATGGGTACTAGAAAACTGATAAACGTACTTAAACAAACTTTTCTTTTGTAAATAAATATATATTATGCATTTACAGACACCCAGACACTGGAAAAACACTATATTCATCACACAATATTTTTCCAGTAATGGGGATCGAATTTTCCAGTAATTGGGTACTGAAAAATTAAAATTTAATTTATCCTTTGAATCAGACACAAAATCGAGGGCGGTGGTTACACTAATATTGAGATTTTCCTGGGTATTAAGATCCGTATCCGTATCCGCGGATATTGACCCCAATGATCCGTATCTACAATTTAAATGATCCGGCAACATCACTACTCAATAAGCACAAATCCTAATATAACAGTTTATATAAATATAAATCATATCTATGAGATCTATATACCTTAAAGTAAAGAGTATGGATTACTATGTTTTATGAAATGTTTGCTTAAAATTTGCTTGGCATTAGTTTTAATTCAAAAAGGGATAATTTCCGGTACTTATACGTAAATTGGTTTATTGTATATTGTGCAAAACAATTAATTTTAAGTAATGTGTGAGAGAATATAAATTAGTTCTGTGCTTGAAATATTTTAAAATGGTATAGCTTTTAAGATTAAAATTTGATGGCCTAAATTAAAAACAAGTACTTATTACTTCATGCCATGACATTTATATCACTGTAATTTTTACAACTGCCATCATATGTAACCTTAATTTTTTAAATTCATACATAAATGCTGTATAACTGCTAACTGTGAACTCAAAAAACATAAACATTCACTTCATTTTTCATATTCATCATGAAGAGTAAACAAACAATACTCTACATAATTTTGCAGACCATGATTAAAAATTAAAGATTACTAAAACATAATCAACAATGTCATAAACATACACAGGTTATGGTAAAATATTTTTTTTTTTAAATTTGCCTATCTAAGGCTACAGAATTTTTACTACTTTTCCATTTTATAAAACCGCTGTACAAAGTTAGTCAGATTAAAAACTTGACCTGGTCCAGAGCCTTGATCCATGTTGATATATTCGTCCAAGTTATGTGTAGATACTGTAAATAATGATAAAAAAACCAAATGTGAAGTAAGTTCATCATTTCTTATATTACTTAAGACAATGTCATTAAAATGCCAACTATGGTTTACACTCATTTCAAGTAAAAAAAAAAAAACATTTTATTTGATGATCACTTCCAAGTAATGATATCCTCTGTAACTTATCCTAACGTTCGGTTTCTAAAACACTGATCATTTTAGAAGTCAACTAATCAGCTGTCAAATGGTTTTTTAAATGTTATTTGATTGCCAAAACGATTTTTAAACTCTTTGAATTGATCATTCCGATCATTAAGAAGATCATTCTGTATCTGTATATCTGTATTACTGTATCACAGTTTCAAGTTATTTAAGCAACGGTGTTAGTAAGACTGAAAATGTTACCAGAGCTTTATCTGTTTTTAAATTAAATTAAGGTTGCCTGGAAGAAATTGCTAACTTTGCAATATGGCTGCCTATATGTACACTATGTTACCTCTATTATCCTTCTGTTTATTTCGTTGTGTGCAATAAAGTATATTCTATTCTATATAAACATTGGTAAGAATATTTATCCTTTATTTACATACCACTTGTACAAATTGCAGGGTATGGTGGTGGTGGTTTAATCCATGAACCATCAGGTCTTTTCATGTGTCGACGATCAGAAGCAAAGTGTTGTAGGAAATTCTTTGCAGGAACAACACGGAAGAATCTGGTTTATAAAATAAATTAAACAACTAAGCTCTTATTTTCTGTGTTATATAAAATTGATGAACATCGGTAGTAGCTATTCAAGCTTCAACTTAATTAATGGCATTTAGTAACCAAAATGTAAAATGACCTTAAATATAATGTGTAGTATTCCAAAATATAAGCAATGATATATAAGACTTATAGAAAATATTATCTATTATGTAATAGTATTTGCTTTAAATAGGTTTTTATACAGTTTCAATAAGGGAATTGAATATGTTGATTTTTTTATTTAAAGTTTGAAAAAATTGAAAATTAAATATACAAATACAAAGTCCTGTAAATTTACTGACTGTTAATAAAACTGAGTGTTAATGATGCAGAGTTGATTTGTTAATGTAAGAAAAATGTTACAATATTTTTTTCTGAAATAAAAGAAAAAGTGTACAAAACCAACCTGTGAAAGTCTGACTTTAATACTTGATCAGTGCGGAATGTTTCGGTGACATATTTATGAAAGAATGTTGGAAATGGTAGCTCAGAATCCAAATCATAGACAAGACATGTCTTAGAATCCCATGAGTATAGAAATATAACATGGTAATCCTGCAAATAAAATATACACATAAAAATTAAAAAGCTAGATATTCAGAAACATTGGAAATTTTACACATTATAAAAATCAAGAGAATACTATTACAGAAAATTTAATATAATGCAGTATTGCTTTGAAATAGGCAAATCAATGTTAATATTTATCATGCAGATGGAACATGTAGTTTCATTAGTAAAGAGAAACTATTAGTTCTATTTACATTAACATAATTTAAGTTTAAAAGTGGTACTTTAAAAAATTTTACTTATTTTCCTAAATACGACAGGAGATAAACAAAAAATATAAAAAAAATGTGCATTTTTATGTCATTATGTTCTATGCAAAATATAGCTTTTTAAGGTAAATATGATAAGGATAAAATCGTAATTAGTACACACCCATATAACTAGACGATCCTCTTCACGCCCTGCCCTTTGTTTCCACAAAGGCACGGTGCGGCAGGGGTTCGAAATAAAAACAATATAGCACCTATCTAACTCCCCAGGAACTCTTAATGATACATCTTGGCAAAGCTTCCATACATTCTCCTCGCTACGGTAATTACATTACAAATAAAGTAATTGAAAATAAAACTTTATAAGATATAAATATATAGTAAAACAGCTAAAAAGAACTATGGATACTTGCCAATAACATGACACATATGAACATTCGGCTTGTTTAGGAAATAAGGGCTTCAGTGGTTTGTCGCTCTTTTCGTTATTACTTAAATGCATTTGAGCATTGACCGACATTTTGACAGGTTAGCTCTGTCTGTTGAAAAGCGCTAGCTAGCGCAATCGCACTTTTACAATTTACAATGCATGCATGTACAATTGTACTTAAGTATTAAACTAGTAAGAATTAGCCACAGCCACAGACTATGTAGTAAGGTAACCTTTGTCTATGAGCAGCTCTGACGACTATGAGTGGTTTGTTTAATCTAAATTATTCAACCTAACGTAAAAATGTGATTACCATAGTTCAGTATAGATTTTATAAATTAAACAATGCTTTCAGGGAATATTATCATTTGCATTATATTTTTGTTGCATTAGATCTTAAATAGCTTTGCATTTAATTAGCCTGTGCTCACAGCACTCATAACCAAAATAATCTGTCGCATTATTCTATTGTTTATGATAAGTGGTGCAGCCAGCTGCTCTGCTCAGCTGGTTACGGCTTTGTTTAGGCCATCTCTTCTCTTTTAGTTGCTTTCAAAGTTCCTTTTCATATAGGCAATAAGGTGGGCGGTGCGTTGTCCTAGGTTTCGGCCGGACTAGCGTATCGTCCGGACTTTTATAACAGTATTTCAAATTGCGATATTTTTTTTTACAATTCGCAACACCAGAACCCAGCCATTATGACTCGTGAGTACATGTTTATTACCAATATCGAAAGTACTTACTTTTATTAATATCTTAGTTAAAAATTTGTTATATCTAAGTTATAAGAATATTTTAATTCTAGAAATTATCTTTTGTAAGTCATAATGAATATAGGATTACATTCCTGGAACATTCGAGATTCTTAGGATTATATCTGACAGGATTGTCATATACATGTATTGGCCGTGGTGTGACGCCTACATTATGTAAACATTAAAGTACTATCAGTTTACTCCTTTTCATGTATTTGGCTATATTTATAATATGCTAATAACTAGTTTACTGAAATTATTTGTTAAAAATGACAATTTTTTCGTTTAAAAGTTCGTTATAACGAAAATATTCAAGGTTATAGATGCATTGTCAACATGCTCTTATAAATTTCAATTTCTGTGAATTACAGGAGGAAACCAGAGAGATTTGGCTCGCCAAAAAAATCAGAAAAAACAGCAGGAGATGCAGAAGAAAAAAAACGCTAGTGAAAAAACTGGAATGTCTCTGTCTGAAAGGAAACATAGGTTATTTATAGCAAAAATTTTTATTTCACGAAATAAGTTCCACCAATATAGGCTGGCTTAAAAAAAGAGAAGCCAGAAGAAACGAGAGAAGTAGACTTTCTTAAATTTTATGATTGTATATAGAGAAATTAGGTTAGTGGTGATAGGTATGGGGTAATACACTTTTAATGATTATTCATGGCACCATAAAAATTTTAATACCTTGTATAATTTGCTCTATCTATTAATAAATTTATATCATCTTTATACTACATCTTATAAATACTATATGAATTAATATGAATAAAATTCCCATCTTTGCACATTATTCCCATTATTTCAATGTTTAAAAACCAAGTGTGTATAAGAAATCTCTTAGAAATTTAAACAATGGACATTATACTGTGTTATTGTTTATATGCCAGGTTGGCATAGATCAGCTAAGTCATTTAACATTTTGATTTATGGCATTGTCATGAGTGACATTATTAAAATGTTACTATGACACATTTTTGAGGATAAGTTATTATATTTTTAAGCCATAGTTCTGAGTATAAGTGACAATGACATTTCAGGGATGCTGAATTAATGCGAGAAAAACAACGAAAAAAGGAAGAACAGAGTGGACAAGGTAATCAGAAACAAGCAGTTCATTAAGGTTTGTCCAAAATGCAAACATATTTTGACTGCAAAATTTTGTGAACAATTATTTGGTACTTGAGTTGATGTGAGTTTAAACATTTCAAGTGATACAGAAGCAATCATATAAGATAAGAATCCTAAGTACCCCGTTTGCTGTTATATTTACTATATTAAATTATCCAATAGCCATTCTGTTTTCTTTGTTATATTTGCATATTGTGTGTAATATAAGGTGTTAAGTCAATTCTGTTAGGAGAATTTTTGATCTGATTTAATACATGAGTGAACAGTTTGAAGTGTAAAATGTCACATTATCATAGCATTTATTGAGTCTTTATTTGACTGAATAGATTTGTATGTATACTATAGCTCAACTATCCATTTTTGTATAATAAAGTTTTTAAAATACATTCAAAATATGTTTTATTGCATTTTAAAGAATACTGGTTTGAAAATCCATCATATGAACAGGACATTCATATTCTTTACTTTGTTATTACTTTAATACACATCAAACTACAGATACATGCTAATGTTTGAAAGTATGACAATCTATGGGACAGTTTTAACTATTTTAACTTTAGATATATTACTGCAAAGTATTTACCCGTTCAAATTAACTCTTATTTTAATATTTTCGCAGTAATTTTGTCAGATGGCATAGTAATGGAATAAGTATCTTATACCATTTAAGTTTATAACACCATTATGGTGACTAGGTTGTTGTTCACACTTCTCAATACACTATTATTTATATATGCTGCTTAACATACACATAATTCCTGTATAAATACCTAGGTTTTGAAAAGAAACACTGCTGTAACCTGAACTTCAAACAATTTTATTGTAATATGTATTGTTAAAGTAAAATGTCTGTTTTTTTTAAAATGTAAATTTGCAAATTAAATAATTTGGCAGATCTTGCCAGTAACTTAAAGATATGATATTGGATATAAATAAACATATGTGCTAATAGTCAAAGTAAAATTAGACTTGTATAAAATAGGATGGAATACTTTTTATATGCTTTATCACTGTAAAAGTTTGAATAGTTAATACTTACGGCTTATATTCCCCTAGGTTATGCTAGAAATCTATTTATAATCTACATCATTAATGAGCTTAATGCACTACATTTGTGTAATTAGAAAAAAACTAAAAGAAATATACAGAATATAACAGAAAAATTGTTTTATTGTATTATACCCATTATAAACATAGTCTTTTTTAGATTTAGAAACTTTTAGGGGATAAATATTTATTAATGTAAACTTTAAGCTTTAGCTTCAAGCAAAATAATTAAACACATTTTTTCAATACATTAAAGGGACAAGTAACATATTCTACCAATTAGACTTAAAAAAGTATTCAATGTGCTTATTACATAAATGTAATATCAGTTGTATTGACGATTATATATTGAAAAATTAAATGAACTATTCCAAATTCCAATGGGACAAGAAAAAATAGCTGGTAAAAAATATTTAATTCTTATCACTAAGATAACCAGTTTGTATATTTAGAAATCACTTAAAATATAAATTAGTGGTAAAAAATATTGCCTAGTTAGTTAAGCTAAGTTTTTATCAAAAGCAAAGCATTTTTGATGCATATTGACTATAATGTTTATGTAATGTATGTAAATTACAAAAGTGTTTGTATGTAAATTAGGCAGTTCCAATTAAGAGAACTTTTTTTTCAAACTCTTCTCGTTGTCTGTATAACTCTGTTACCAGCTGTTGAATAAATGGATGAACAAATTTTCCTTCAGTTGCCTTAAAGAACTCTTCTAACTTTTTAGGTGTATTTTCACGTTTTTCATATTCAAATGCCTGTAAGATCATATCATAACGATCTAGGTCTTTAGCAAATCTTGCTTCTGGTGAGCTCTGGTTTTCATATTCCTAAAGATGTATCAAAATACAATTATTAGAATTTTAGGTTTTAAACATGTCTAACAAGAGCAAACCATCATACAAAAACAATTTTTAAGAAAATAAACTTACCTTATAAAGATTATACATTCTATCACCAGCAATGCCAGTTAGTTCAGCAATTTTTTTCATAGCCTCATCTTCCTGTCTATGCTTTTCATCTGGAGAAATTCCACAGTGTGGTGTTATGTCTCCAACAATACATTCAGCAAGATCATGAACTAGAGCTGCAAATTAATCAGCAATAAATTTTAGTTTCAGTATTGTTAGTTGTATTAAAATAAGGAAATAAATGGTTAAGCGTTAGCTAGAGCCAACTACTAACTTTTTAATTGCAACCTAATAAATTAAGTGCAATATTCTTAGTATAAGTTTAACATATATTAGCAAGTACAATGATATTATTATAAAACAATAGTAATTAGCTTTTGGGAAACTTTAATATTGAGGATTTAAACATTTCTGTATTTACACAAATTACAGTAAAGAAAAAATTTAGATGTTAAGGATGTTCTCTACAATCAAAGCTACAAAAGAAACTCTCATCGTTATTTAGAGATCCTCACTCCCCAACTTCAACTCTGCAGGGAATGACATAGAAGCTATTACTTTAACTTTTAAAAATCCTCAAATTAACTTGTTTCCTAAAAGGTCCGCAACGCATTTGTCCGGTGTTGTTCATGGGTAGCGGTGATCACTTACCATCTGGTGAGCTGCCTTTGCCCGTTTAAAAAAAAATTAAATAACTGAGAAAAGAAGTATAACAACACTAGCTAAATAATTATTTGGTATTAGGTTGAACAAAAATATTTTAAGTTATAGTATAAAGTTTCAAATGAAATTTCATGCTCATGTGTCATGCCATTAAAATAGATTTAAATATAGAAATTGATTCTACGAAATTACCGATTTGCAGACATTTAAAGCGGTCAAGATTTGTGGGATTATTTTCCTCAGTTAGTAAAAAAGTCATTAAACCCATGCGATACATGTGGCCAGCAATGGATTCGCAGTCATCTATATTACATATAACCCAACCCGTTCTTTTCACATGCTGCAAATAATGAAACTATGGAATTATTCTGCATTTTAAACATAACATGCGAAGTAAAATATTTCTCACTTTTAAGCGACCAACTAATTCAAGGAATTCGAGTATCTTTTGATTTTCAATTATTTGGGCCATATTTCCTTATTTTAGCCGACACAAATTTTCCCCAATCAAACGTGTGTATTTATTCGTTAAATTATTTTTTAATTTACTAACGTCACTTTCAAATTGACAATGTTTGTTTCATATTCAATGATAATGAATATTATTCAATATTCATTATAAATAGTAAAGATCACAAATAGGAGCTAAAAACGTCAACGTCATACTGTTTGTCAATTGTCAATGTGGTATTGTTTAATTAATGTTTTGGGTTCACTTCGGCAGTGTTACTAACTGTTCAAAAATAATACTGTTAAAGCAATTCGAAAACCTATAAAATTGACAAAATTGAAACAAAAACTTCCTAAATCTAAAACCACGATTTTTTTATATTATAAACGTAAAATATTATCTCACAAAATTAACTTTTTCATTAAAAATTAAATTATTAAATCCATTATTTAAGATTTACACAAATCAGTCAATTTTCTTCGGTTGAAATAATATTTTTTATTGTATTCTTCTTAGGGTCTTTCATTCTTCTGGGTCTGAGACGCTTCTGATCAAGACGACTTATATAAGCCACCTGAAGCACGGCTCAATTCTAATTCTGATGGCTTTATAGCTCAGACTCGGAAGAATCAACCCATCTACTTGATGATGGTCAAGTAGGTATTATCAACAACGACACTTTTATCACCAGCGCTTTCATCATCGTCATTGTTTAAAGAGTATCTGAAGTCCAAAGTAAGAAAAGGGCAGTCTTCACCCAGAGTCGCAAGAGATTGAAGGCGTTCGATGCGAGTACATGGAAGAGGCAGGACTGTGCAAGATAACAATCCAACAAGCAATACTTGGACAGGAGTGCTTCGTCCAATTATACACAATTAACTCTTTCCTAATGAGTTCTCAAAGTTCTCAGAGCTGTGGAACTACCGACGTTCGTGCTTGACAAGATGGGAAAATTGCTGATACGAAATGGTTAGACAATAAATCTGTTTTACTAATCAACTTCTTTAAACGAGAAAAAAGTTGATACATGTAAGCGTTTAAATAAAATTATTAAAAGATATGTTCAAGTTCTACGTTCAGAAGTTTTCATAATGTATAATGCTAATATGGGTTTTGACTTGGCGGACAGAATTATAGCGGTTTGTCCGATTTGAGCGCAAAGTCGAAAGTGGACTATCAGTATTATTTTTCATATGATTGTAATATCCTAAATTAAGTACATCCAAAATATTCATGATTATAGTTGTTTAAAACTGATGTCCTAAATATAGAACATCATTTTTTTTCATTTTTTTTTTAGTTTCTTTTATTTTGGTTTCATTTTTCCTTGAATATATATCACGAAAATAGGTAAATCAATAATCAAGGCAAAAAATATCATACCCTCGGACTCAGGAGGATATAGCTACACTATTGATTCTAGAAACGTGATCAAAGGATTCAAGGATTCTTAAATATGGACGGTCATATGCTACTTTATGCTGAGCTTCTTTGATGATAGAGATATTATAGATTGTGTGGTGTTCTAACTCCGTACCAATTTATTTATATTTAGTAAGTAAATTGTTTTCCGAGAATTTCGCAGCTTGATAATTTGTGGGTTGACGCGTTTTCTTCAACGGGTGATGATTGACGTGGAGCACTGGCCACGTCTCAATCCGATCAGATTGGGAGTTAGCCTACTTCCTTGTGCTTGCGTCAGCGTGACAAAGTGACCCGGCATACCACGTAATGGAATTACGTCGGAATCATGGAATTTTTGTCGCACCTACTGGGAGATAGAGCCATGATATCTCAGTGTCCGGGCGCTCGCCTTTAATTCAATATACTTGAGCGACCTGAGTTCGATCCCCGGTGCCAGCACCAATGAAAATGTTAATTTTAAGTGCTGACTAATCACGTGCTCGGTGGTAAAGGAAAACATCGTGAGGAAACCTGCATATTTTCGAAATAATAACAAAAAATTCGAAAAATATGCGAAGTCCGCAAATCCGCAGTGGGGTTGCGTGGCGGACTATGCCCTGATGCCCTCTTTACAGAGGAGGCCTTTGCCCAGCAGTAAGACATTTATAGGCTGTTACTTTACTTTTTACTTTATTTTACTGGGAGATTCAGATTATATTATTCGACGGTGGAAGCGGACCTATGATATAAACATCATAGGTCCGCTTCCACCGTCGAATGACTTCATCTACTGCCTAACCGCGATCGACAGGTTTACGCGTTGGCCAGAAGTTATGATGACCTCGATTACTTCAGAAAAATTTGCCCAAACACTAGTTTTGGCGTGTCGAGTATTCATACAACAGACCAAGGGTGTCAATTTGAATCAGCATTATTCCGGCGTATATTTAAACATTTATGTGCAACCCAGCGAATTAGGATTATACCCTATCACCCTAGCTCAAATGTTATATTAGAGCGAGTACACCGACAACTCAGAGCTGCACTCATGTCACAGCGATTTTTTGGTTTAATCGCTTCCCGTGGTCCTTCTTGGCAGGCGTTCCGCCGTCATGGAAGATTTAAAAAACATAGTCGCCGAATTGGTTTATGGGGAACCATTAAGATTTCCAGGGGCATGCCTAGTGCCTCAGAGCCAGATTTTCACAACGACCCCAGTGACTTCGTAACCCAACTACGTAAAAATAGGACATCATTTCTTCTGCTGCCTGCATCTGGACATTGTAAACAGTTTTTTTTTGTTGACGTGGGGGAAATGCCTACACATACCCGCCCTCGCGGGGGCAAGAGTGGCCTATGTCGGACTCGCACCACATATCGGCAGGGCCACGGGAACGCTTTCGCACACTTCGCACCCTACCAGCGCTGGCCGCCTCAGAAGCTCCCTCCCTGGATCAACTCCCCTCTCCTCCAGGTACGGCGCGCCGGAACATTAAGCGCGCCTGCTGCTTGACTCGACCTTTTTTTCCCCGGCCAATGAACTTCCCAACGTTCGCTGACCAGGGGCCATAGGAGCCAGGAGAGCCAATGGTAATAAGCAGTAAGCCTCTCAGCCCCCAGCGGTGGACCTGGTCTGTGGCTCCGCCGCTCATCACTTTTCGGACACGAAGGGTGGGGAAGGAAGGGACAGTTTCACAATAAGACATGGTGAAACTGCTTCTTCCATCTTCAAAAAACTCGTATTGGCAACTCACGCCTACCTTAAATGACGCTGTAAGAAGAACTTTCCAACTTTACAAAAACCCATACACAATTTCGTATCGGGCTGTTGATAGAAAAACTGTGACACTGATTACTCCAGCAGATCAAACATCACCATCCACACAATCTAAAATTGTACTGACTCCTGGTTTTTCTCAATCATCTTCTGCTTCCCTCCGATTCCGAAAGTTCTTTCCTCAACCTCTGTTCTCAAACCCAGCGTTACCACAGCTGAAGAGAGGGAAAAATAGTGGAATTTAGAGAAATTTTAGATTTTTAATGAAATTTTTTTATAATTTTATATTTGTAATTGATCTATTCTAATTTGTTTCTTTTAGAAATTTAAATTGTTTATAGTGCTAATCTTTGCACTTAAGATTGAACATTAAAATATGTAGAAAAAAGCAATGGCGACATTTCCGTTCGAATTATCGTTGTAAAATGATATTCGAAGTTGTTTGTATGCTGGAAAGGATATAACAATAATGCTAAGAAAACAATGTAGAAGAATGCGTTAAGATTTTCGTCGGTGTGGTAATCAGCCGTTTAGCTCAGTGGCTAGAGCGTCAGGCCGCGAATGCCGAAGACGTGGGTTCGATTCCCACAGCGGCGACAATCTTTTCGCACTTTTTCTACATATTTTAATTGTTTCTTTTAATTATTTTATTTAATCTTTATTGCCAACCTTCAGTAAAACAAGGTAACAAAGGGCGGACTTAATGTCCAAAGTCATTCTCTACCAGTCAACCCAGGAAGTGGTGAAAGTTTATGGTAGGTGCAGCAAAAGATGCAAGAATAATAAAATTTTTATTAAACAGAATATATATGAAAAATTATAATTAGATACAAATCATATATTAAATTATATATGTATTTATATATTTATAAATTATATATATATACATATCTATATTTATTCAAATATTTAAATATATATAAAGATGTATACTTGTATAAATACATAAGAATTAGCTTCTACTTTTAACTTGTTCGTGTTCACGAACCAGTATTTTGAAAGATGTCTTACTTTTTGCGTTATCGGGCTAGGAGTTCCAAAGATGTATAGCTTGGATAGTAAAGGAGTTAACAGAGAACCCTGTAAAGTGCGCTGGAATGCATAATTTATTCGTGTAAGACGACCGAAGCACCCTATTGTTTTTGAGGTAAGAAGGGGAGGAACAATCATTTAAAATGGAGGAAAGCACAAGCAAAACTCTGGACTGCCGCCTTTGCCGAATAGTAAGCCAATTAAGTTGAGATCGATAGGAGGATATGTGGTCATACTTGCATAAGCTGAAAATGAACCTGATATAGTTATTAAGTAGGCGATCCAACTTGTTAAGTTGATGGGATACGTCCGGGTAACACACATCTGCATAATCAATAATGGGTAAAATGAGCGTTTGGACAAGCAAAAGTTTAGTTTTGAAAGGGAGGAAACGTTTTAAACGATAGAGAGATCGTAAGGTGGCAGTAACTTTGCGGCCTCTTCCTTCTTCTTCTTTTTTTTGCCATCGGTTAGCCTTATTGTCCAATATAATAAATATAACCAATTAACTAATATTGTTCAATAAAATAATTAAAAAAAAGAAAAATAACAATTTTTCTTTTTTATGTGTTGATGACAAATCATATCTTTCTTATCCAGAAATTAGCCAATTCGACAGCACAATTTGTGGCATTCATCCTGCTGCGAACAGAAACGACAGACAGGACAGGACATTAGATGACCAACCTTTCGTTTCTTATAAGGGTGACCAACCGTCACCTATATAAGAAACGAAATGAAGTGGCCACTGGATGTTTTATCTAAATATCCGGCTTCAAAATTGTTTGGACATAAAATAAAATAACATAAAAAAATTTAGATGGGTACTAGGGTTATTGGATGATTGTTATGAAAGTTCAGTTTTAAAAATCTAAGACTCCGATTTAAGAAATAAATTTTGCATTTCAGTATTTTTTTGCGGCCAACGAAAACAAATCCTCTGCGATCGAAGTCAGGAACGTAGGCTGCCAAACGCTTGAAAATATGTTGTCTTGGATTTTGCAATAAAACCTGGGGAGTACTGTAATAATTCTTATATTTTAACCTAATTTGTCGCCCCCAGATATGTATTTGTATTTGTTTCAGCTTCCACGTCCACGCCTCGCTGCCCTGTTAAGAGCCAGTGGTGGTCGTCGTGAGGCTTCCTCGTCGTGCCTTTTAGTGACTTTATTTTAATTTCTCAAGGATGATTTTTAATATTATGAATAACGATGTTCGTACATGCTCTCAAACGGATTTTCTACCATGTCAAAATTTTTCCGACGGTAGGCTTTTTAAAGGTAAAAGAGACTTAAATATTCAAATTAAACGTTGTCATAGTCACCCTGTTGCAGCTTCACAGCCTACCGCATTTTGTAATAAGACTATTAGCGATTATAATGCCAAAAATTTAAAGTTGTTTTCGGAACAGATCTATTATTACCATAGCAATGTACCAATACTCAAAAGGATTCCAAGAGGTGCAAGGATGCAGCTTGCCAAGTCATTATCAACCTGTATTCAAAATTGTTTCTCAAATACTGAATCTAGTTGGTATAATTTATTTACCTTTGCGTATTCCCATTTTCACTTTGATAAATCGGTATCAAAATCAATTACTTCTCAGTTAAAGAGCAATTCATTCAAAATTTTTGAATTAATTAATTCGATTTAAAGAGAACTGTAGAGACTAAAGTTATGATTTAAAAAATGCATCGGGCATTTTATTTTCAGACGACATCCTTGCTCCGCATAATGATGAGACTCTAGAAAACCTCCGTCAAAAGCATCCATCGATCAATTTTCCGCCGCTGCCTCCCGATTCTTCATATCAGGCTTTGCAAATTACCGAGAAAGACACTTTCGAGGCAATTATGTCATTTTCAAGTGGCTCTGCTGGCGGTATTGACGGTATAACGCCACAACATCTGAAAGATCTTGTAAGCGCTTCCGCCGATGATGCTGGCAGAGCACTTCTTAATGATATTACAAAATTATGCAACATTAAGTTGCATAATTTTCCAGTTTTGCTTTCCGGAAAAGTAAATTCTAAATTTGTTCCTTTCTTATACGGGGCAAGATTATGTGCCTTTAAAAAAAAAGATAATGGTATCCGTCCTATTCCTATTGGTTCTACCTTTCGACGCTTAACTTCAAAATTAGCATGTAGGCACATAATCTCCGGCCTTAAAACAAAATTCAACTACGCTTTGGAAGCAAAGGCGGCTGTGAAGCGGCTGTACATTCCGTTCGAACTTCTTTAAATACTAGTGATTTGGATGTACTTCTGAAGGTTGACCTAAGAAATGCTTTTAACTCCATTGATAGAACGACTCTGCTGAACGAAGTGGCTAACCATACACCAGAAATATATCATTATGTTTGGCAATGTTACACTGAAAAGAGTAATTTATTTTATGAAGACAATATTATTGATTCTGCTGTCGGCGTTCAGCAGGGAGATCCGCTAGGACCGGCATTATTTAGTTTGGGAATTCATCCAATTATTTCAAAATTGAAATCTAATCTTAACGTCTGGTACCTAGACGATGGTACGCTGGTAGGTAAAGTTGACGATGTACAAAGTGATCTTATCGAAATTATTAGACAATTTAAAAAATTCGATCTCTCGATTTAAATAATTCCAAATGTGAACTTTTCTTTTCCGAAAAGATTTCTTTTTCCGACAAAATAATTTTGACCCAAAATTTTAGCTCTATCATAGCGGGAATTAACGTAGTCCGTTCAGATTCACTTTACCTCTTAGGTGCTCCTTTGTTGATACCAAGTTTGGAGCCTCATTTAAAATTAAAGCTAAATCAATTTTTAGATCATGTTAATAAATTGTTTTTACTAAATTCGCATATTGCGCTTACTATTTTGCGACATTGTATTCTTGTACCTAAATTTACGTACCTCCTTCGCTTAAGTCCAGTTTGGAAATGCGGTGACTTTTTGGACGAAATTGATTGAATCTGCTCTAGAAAAAATTCTAAATTTATCTCTTAATGAATTAAGCTGGACTCAAGCTACGCTGTCAATTCGTTTTGGTGGTATCGGTGTAAGGAAAATTTCTAGTGTCGCTCTACCTGCCTTCCTTGCTTCCGTGCATAGCGTAAATAATTTATGTAATAACATCCTTAATCACGATTCAGAACTGTCAGGATGTCTTGGCTGTCTATCTATCTGCCCCAACGAAAATATCCCAATGGAAGTAAACCTACAAAAACAGTGGGATGTTCCTTTGGTGCGGAGAGTACAGAGAGATACGTTTCAATCTTTAGAAAGTAATTTAGAGCGTGCCCGTTTCCTAGGCGTCTCATCTAAAGAATCGAGTTATTGGCTTCACGCTTTACCATCAAGTAACTTGGGCACATTAATTGACGATGAAAGCTTACGCATTGCTGTAGGAATCCGTCTGGGGGCACCGATTTGTCAACCACACCAATGCCCTTGTGGTGTCAATGTAGAGAAATTTGGTCTCCACGGGCTTTCTTGTCAAAAAAGTGCTGTTTTTCCCGCCACGGTTCCCTGAACGACATCATCCGTAGGACTCTTGTTTCCATCAATGTTCCATCTATTTTAGGGCCCTGTGGCATTTTTCGCGATGATGGTAAGAGATCCGACGGTTTAACATTGATCCCTTGGGATAGAGGCAAAGCCCTTGTTTGGGACGCCACTTGTGTAGACACTTTGGCTGCCTCTCATCCAAGGGGTATTTCGGTCAGGACCGGGTTGGCATCGGAGGCAGCTGAAGTAAGTAAATGGCGCAAATATGAGTCTTTATGTTTAGATTATGTATTTGTGCCATTTGCTGTTGAAACTTTAGGTCCTTTTACTTTAGGATTTTTTTTAAAAGTTTATGTCCTAGACTTATCACCGCGGCTGGTGACAAGAGAGCTGGTTCTTTTCTCGCTCAAAGGTTAAGCATAATTCAGTGAAGTGCAGCTAGCGTTCTTGGCACCATGCCGCGTGCATTAGGTTTATTAGATAATATGTAATTTTAGATAGATTTAATCTTGTAAATATTAGATCAATAAAGATTGTAAAAAAAAAGTTATGAATTGTATTTTATTAATTATTAGAAACTTTAAAATACATTTAATATTCTTTTATGAATCATCATTAACAATTTCGACAGCTCTTGTATCATCATCATTATCATTAAAAGCATTAATTATTATAAAATAGAAACCCATAATGTTTATTGATATAATATTTACAAGGTTAAATCTATCTAAAATATATATTATCTAATAAACCTAAACATGCTACTAACTGACTCAAAACATTAGTAATATTGTTCATTTGTGGAAACATAACAGGAATAAGTATTTTTGTATCATGACAATAAGTATGAGAGATGTCTAAACTACGGTACGGAATTGAACAACTGTACATTACGATAAAATAAAAAATTCCATCGATGGGATCACGATGTTAGGTCCTGAAGTGTATGCCATTCTCAAAGTTTTTCGGCCACGTAAAACTATTTTGCAAAAAGAGGTTTTTGATATCAGTTTGTGCAGTATTTCCAGACCAATATGCAAACTACTTGCATTGTGGACATTCGCAACAAAATGTCCATGTGCATCGGCGATCACCGATAACTTACCAACAGGTCAGCGACTATCTTGTTTGCAATTTCACATACAAGTTTTTGATTTTGCTTATTAATTCTACAATTATCATTAGACAGAGTTAACTGAACCTTTAGGTCATAGCTATTTCTAAGGTAAATGAGTTAAGATACCTTACTGTATAAGCAGCATCAAAACTTCCTTGTAAATTAAGTACCTAATTAGTTGTGTGCTGTGGCCCATTAACGCTTTATCTTGAAAAAGAAGTATATTTTTAATCTATTTATCTGAATTTTCAAAATTTCATGACATATATAGAATACATTTACAAGAATTCGTTACGTATATAAATAAAGAAGGTTTAATCAAAGCGTGTTTCATTTTTATTTATTTTCTCTTAATTCTTTATTCTGAATTCATTTCATAAAGCATCGAAAGGAAGCATACTGATTAATATGAACGACATATGTATGGAAAACACATACTGTGAATTACAATGCTCCCCGATATACCGCTATACAACTTTAAATTCACATGGACTGTCAGGCAGTGAAAATGTTGTAGTCCTCACTGTCGGTACGCAATGTGGAAGCGGTTCCAATATGAGTATTTTAAATCCTTTAAAGTGTTTGTGTGTTTGTTTCGAGATTCAGTGTTTTAGTTTACTTGTTTTAAAATAAGCATTGTGATGATTTTAATTTTGCTCCTCTTTTCTTCAGGTTGGTGTTGATTAATAACTATTTAATGACAACTGTAAAAAAATCATAGGTTTTTTTATGTGAGTAGATGGCAAGCGAGTTGGCGGTTTACCTGTCATAACCGCTGCCCATTGACATCTGCAACACCCATAGGGTTGCAGATGCGTTGCCACGTTTTAATGAAGTGGGCCCTCATTTATCAGACGAAACGCAGAAGTATAAACTTCCACTTCACGCCGGTCTTCTGTGAGGTTGTGGTACTTACGCGGATGGACCTGACCATTCGTGCAACAGCGAAGATTATTGGGTGGCTATCCATAGGTTAATTAAAAATTTTACGTTACAAAGAAGAATTAAGCTTATATGCATAACTAGCTTTTCGCCCGCGGCTTCGCCCGCGTTGAAGACCTTAAATATATATCTTGCAACCCTTTTTTTCAATTAAAAATAGCCTATGACATTTCTCAGGCTCTAGACTATCTGTGTACCAAATTTCATTTAAATTGGTTCAGTAGTTTTGGAGTTAAAGCGAGACAGACAGACAGAGTTACTTTCGCATTTATAATATTAGTATGGATTATGCATGCGGGCTATGCAAAAGAGGTATGCTAAGGTCGCGCAAAATAAAAAAATCCTGATTTTCGCTTTTAGAGAAATTTGCATTGAACAGACGACAAGAGTTTTTTGCCTAGTTAAATGTTTCCGTTACAAAACATACCTTTGAGGTTTTAACAAATAAATGTACAAACCGTTCAAATAATACATAGTTATAATGTCTTTAAGTAGTATCTATTTACAAAGCAACCTAATGTTTAAGTACATATTTGCCAAACAAAGTAACTGTATTTTCTATTATTATAACTATTCTATTATTCTTTTATACATATTCTATTATTGCAATTGTAAATGAAAGGTTAACTGTGTATAATTATACGTTTTTATACTGCTTTACGACTAATATATGTTTAAATATCTTTATTCATTATCCATAAATTGTATCACTAACGAGACTAAAATATCATTAAGGCACCTAACATTTAACCAATATTTGATACGTTCATTTGCGAAATCACGTTGGCAGAAAAGAAGACAGAAAATTGTTTAAATGGTGTATTAATTTATACGGTACGTTTCGATATCGTTTCGGGAGCGTGTAACGTAATACCCCATGGAAAGCACACATCCATACAAGTAATTATAAGCACCAAATAGCACCTTAACTCACACTAACAGTAAGCAGATACATGTAGAAATCAATAATACACTGAGTTATCTTCAAACAAAAATGAACTTATTAGTTAGTTCAACTAAGTCTAAATCTCGTATCGTCTAATCTAAATATAAATATAATAATATATAATCAGAATACAATATAATAAAAAATAAAATAAAATAAAAAGCGAACTCTATATCGTCTAAAGAATTTTCTTCCTTTCAAGATCAAACTCTTACTTGTTCAGTCACTTATTCTACCAATAATTGACTATGCAGATGTTTGTTACCCAGACTTGAACAAAGACCTTCTCAACAAGCTTGAACGCCTATCCAACAACTGTATCAGATACGTTTTCGGCATTCGAAAATTTGATCACATTACTCCCTATCGCACTAGACTTAAATTGCTTACAGTTAAACAAAGACGGAATTCAAGAATTCTCTTCATGCTTTTTTCGATTTTAAATGACCCAGCTTCACCATCCTATCTAAAAGATAAATTTAAATACCTCTATCAAAACAACGAAAGAAATCTCCGTTCTTCATCTAACCTCAAAATTTCTATTCCTCCACATAATTCTAGTTTCTTCGGTGACTCTTTCGCCGTTCAGGCTGCATTACTTTGGAACTCCCTGCCTGAAGACATACGTAGTGCCCCTTGCAAGGCCTCATTCAAACGCAAAGTCCGCGAATTTTACTTAACATCTGAATGTTAAATTTCATCATTATTTCAATATCGTTTATATGTTTGTATTTATGTATATATGTTAGTGTTTTTATATATAATATATATGTGTATATTTGTATATATATATTTATTTTGTATATGTATGTAAGTATTTATATTTATTTAAGCGTGTGTATATTCCATACATTGTATATTTCATTCACATTAGTAATGTACTTGTTTTTTTTTTCTCCTTTTTATTGCACCTACCACAATTTATCTCCACGCCCCGGGTTGACTGGGAGAGAATGCCTAAAGGCGTTAAGTTCGCCCTTTGTAATCCTTGTTTAAGGTAATTGCAATAAAGTATAAATAAAAAAAAGCCTTTTATTTCTTGCTACACTATGAAAACTAACATTAAAAAAAAGAAACAATGTGACGTAATGTAGAATTAATAAGTTACAGTTAATTTTATTGGTATAAACGTAGAACTGCAAGAACCCCTCTCAACGGAAGGTAAAGGTAAAATGTATTTTATCCTCTGCTACTCGCATCCAGTTGGTACCTGCTATTTTTATAATATCGTCTGCCCAGCGCGCATTTGGTCTGCCCCTTTATACAATCACAACACACAATATAATAAATAATCATAGTTATATTATATAAAGCCAGCTAAACATGGGACGGTTAGAAGAGATGTGGTCGTTGGTACTCGTAGATTTAGTTTGTTGGAAGAAAACTTTTACCCATTTATCTCATATTATAAACATAGCCATAATGTTTATATTTACACGCCGTATTAAGATGCGTGGCGAGAAAATTTGTATGATATGATTGTTTTGTTCGTTTTAGACTTCGAAATTTTCGACTAACGTACTAGATAAGACGCAAAGTAGTTGAGGCACGATGTGGATATAATTGTTTATTCATTGTACTGTTCAACTTCTTTTAACATTATTATTATTATCTACTTTTTTTCAAGAAACATTAAATTCAACCTAATAATTCATGCCTAGGTGATGCATTTAGAAGAAAAAACTAATTACATATCAATTTAGCTAAAGGGAAAATATTTTTTGTAACCTCTTTGCCTTGTATTCACATTTAATTATCAGACACGTGAACAGATTTTAATATAATTTAGTATTTTCATCAAAAATCGAAATAGGTATCTGTCTTATATTTTTAGTCTTATTTTTTATATTTTAATCAAAAATTCCAATACCTATTAATTTTTTTTTGATGCAAATTATGGTAGTTTTATTTTAAAAAACCCCTGAAATTTAAATCTAGTTAATTCCGCGGTATGCATACATTTTATTATTGATTAGGATTTGTGGATTTCCGCACTACTAAGCCAATTTAAATATTTGGTAATTCCGTTAACTCTTATAGCACTTTAAGAGTTAATCTTTATATATATAATTCTTCTGTACGTGTGTATGTCACTGAACCCCTTCTAAACGGCTAGACCGATTTTAATGAAATCTTTTGTGTGTTTTGTGCGATTCGAGAATGGTTTAGATTCACAATTCGTTTTATTTTTTATTTATAAGTTGTTGTTGGATTTAAGTCGCGTGTACAGGATAACTAACGTCTGTTGGGTCCGCTAGTATGTTACATTATGCACGATCATAGTTTATGAGATAATTTATATTTAGGTATTCTTTTAATTTACGAGAACAACTGTAAAAAAGATTATATTGCATGTTTTAATATAAAAAAATGTAACGGTTTGTTGATTTTGTAACCTTAAATCAGATATAAAAATGAATGTAAATAAATATGAGTTGCTAAACTACATTCAGTCGGTTTAGTGTACCTACATCACTTGATTTATATATTGATATGATTATATCATCGTAAAAGTTGTGTGCTCGTGCATTCGTGCGTAATGTCTCTTTCTACGTGTCTGAAGATGATTTATGATAAGGACAGCCTAAAGTTTCTAATGTTATAAGCGGTTCATAATGTCACGGACTTTTTTCTCTTAACATAAAGAGAAACTTAAGATATGGTAAGATACTGTGCTAATATACTTAGAATTTGATTTTGCTTTTGCTATTTGTCATCGTAAAGATTTAATTGCTAATCATATTCGCGTGTAAGTACTTTCTAGAGTCCATCTAAGTATGTGTTGACGTAATATAGCTGTTTCACTTTTTTAAATGTGTCAGTGCAGGTAAGGCGCTAAGTTTTTACTGCTTTCCTCATTGCTATTGCAGATGCAAAGCCGGTGCGGGCACGCTACGAATTCCGATTACTCGGTGAAGTGGAAACGTGCATATCGCTTAGTTAAAAAAAATGGATTTTTCTTGTAGAAAATTATAACGTTGATATTAATTAAAAAATAAGGTTCGATTCTCTCACGAGAGAACTGTTTGTGTGACCCACAGATAGTTGTTTCGCATCTGCGTGTTTGACCGCGTGAAACTTATGTTTGTAAAACGTCCCTACAACACAGGGTAATGTTATCTTAAAATAAGGACAATGTTTTTATATAAAGAAAAATAAATTAAACACATTTTATTCTTTGTATTTCAGTTTTTCCCCTGTAGGGAAGAACATATGACAATGACACTCAACCTACGTAATTCTAATAATGGAATGACCTTCCTACTACTTGATTGTTAGTCTTTAGAATAATAATAACAACTATTTAGTAGTATATGTATATAATAGAACATTACTATCAATGTGTTATTCGTTATTTTTCAGTTACGGCAATACAATGGGATGCGCCGTCGCCGTATGACCCCGTATGGCTCGCGAGTGTTCAGACTTACCCGCCTGTGTTCGCAGTGAATGAGACCAGATTATGGTTTTGGGGTTGGGTATACGAGCAAGATGTGCAGTTCAAACTGTTCACGAGGTGATTATTTATAACTTCCTTGATACGCTTCATTCATCGCAAAGATCTGGACGAATTATAACCGTAACCGAGATTCACCAAGAGCGTGCATTTAATAGTACCCAATTTCGGTTTTTGGGTAGCATTTCCGTATTGTAGTCTTTATGATTAAATGTGTGATATGGGTTTTAATGGAATGAAGACTGGTAATGGGAATATCGCAAGACGTGCGGCTGCTTTGGAAGCGAGCAGCGACGACGAGTCGCAATCGTGTCCATCGACAGCCACGACCTCTCTGCCAAGAGTGACTTAGAAGAAGATGTTTGTGAATACTGAAGATTTGATACAAAATAATAAAATAATGTCTCTATTAACATTCATTGTTTACTAAATACTGACAAGCGTTAAATGTAACATTCGAAAACACGCTATATTTTTATATTGAATCTATTCACTGACATGTAAAATAAATTTACTGATATCGTTGTAGAATCCACTTTCTTTTTGTTCTGTTAGAAGATGATAAGTTTGCTAGTGCTTAAATGATACCTGCCACCCATGGCTATTTGAAACACCCCTAGGGTTGCAGATGCGTTGCCCTTTCAATAGAGTGGGCTCAGGTTTCCTCAATTGTCAGACGAAACGCAGAAGTCTAACACTTCCACTTCACACCGGTCTTCTGTGAGCTCGTGGTACTTCCCCGGACATATATAAAAAACAAACAGTTACTAAGACTATTTTAGTAAAAATGTAAATTACTTTTACAGGCGGAATCCTTTCGAGTTCCAAGAAATCAAAATAAATGACACGGATTCTCTGCGGAATTCTAATTTTAATTTCGGCAATAAGGTTAAAGTGCTCACTCACGGTTGGCTAAACCATGGGTCCAGTCCCATGCCTGAATCGATTAAGGAGGGTATGTAAATAATTATGTTCTATTTCAAAAGAAAAACTGACATCATTCTTTTTGTTTTAAAAAATAGCACGAATAAAACACGTGAAAACATTTTTTTTATCAGGAAATAATGTTATTTTTTTATAATTTGCATATTTTATTCTTTTTTTAGCTTATTTGAACATCAGTGACCTTAATATTATAGTAGTGGATTGGGGAAACGCCGCAAACGTTAATTATATCCTTGCAAGTTATAACGTTGCTATGGTGGGGCGTCTCTTAACAGAGTTCCTGAATTTTCTAATTTCTGAGGGTGTCTCTATGGATGATGTTCATCTGATAGGGCATAGTTTAGGCGCTCACGTAGTTGGCATAGCTGGAGCATACGTAAAACAGGGACCTATTGACACAATAACAGGTAAGGCATCTATGATTCACACCTGCTACATTACAAGCATCAATATCAATGGCTGTGTTATAAAAAAGATCGATAATTATTGTTTTTTATTTTGTAACGAAATATACTTTACTTATATGATCAAAACGTGCTGATGCGTTTAATTATTTTAATAATTATTTCAGAGATAAGTACAAAACTTTAATACAGTTAAGTTAAGTTTTACTGCTCGCGATTCTGTAGTATGGGAGACCGGGGTTGGAAGTCACATTTTTGAATTTTGAATTTTTAAGTGCCCATATTCTTGGCAAATCAATGAAATTTATATCTCAATGGATAGTATATCTAATCTAGTTTCAAAATAAATTAATACTCCTTGACATTAACATTATCCATTGAGGAAATATTACATTTTTGAGAAAGAGGAAAAGTGTGACTTCTAACCCCATCTCAGGGATGGTTGTCACAATGCCAGGGGTAGGTAGTCACACAGTAAATCAAGGGACGAAAATATAAAAAAAATCACTTATTTAAATCAAATGAGTAGGTATTTTTATTAGAAATAGAATCTTGAACTGGTATACAAAATGAAAAGAATGTAAAATATTCATTATAACAAATTCACTTATACATAATTTATAACAAAATTAGAATTCTTGTTACGAAAACAACAAAAATGTAATCATAAACAGGCACTGATTAATTTGGACGTTATACTTTTAAATATACGATACACGGACGATATAATATGAAGTCAATCCAAGTACTCAGTCTGGATATTTAGATTCACAATTTTGGCAAATATATCAGTAATCAGCTCTCCGTGGCTTGCGCGGAGGAGTTTTTGCACCATAGTCACCCCAATTTCGTCCATGTTCCATATTTCAAGTTTAAAAAAAAACTGACAAAAAAGTTGACATTTTGTGGATTAAAACTGATGGCTCCAGCAAACTAGTGGATTCGGGTCTTCTAATGGACAGAGAAGGATGTCTCTTCATAAACGACTCAAACCAATCGGGGCCAGCTAGCTTGTTTGAATCCTAATACTAGTACGTTATGTAGCAAAATTCCAAAAAGCCAAAAAAAAGCCAGCAGACATGCATGGGGTTGGTTGTTACATGTGACTACCCGCCCTCGTTAAGCTGAGAAAACCTGCCCCAAAACAAATTTTCGAAAACAAGCCTAAAAAATAAATCTAAATTTAGGTTTATATTTACAAAACTATATAACAATATCGTGAGCCATATATTTAACTTAACTAATACATGAATAGGTATTTTACAATGCAGTCCAATTAGGCATACTTACAAGGATCGACACAGATGCACGAAAAATTACTTTTGGTGTGAAAAAAAAAAAACAATCGCACGTTTCTCCGTCACGGCGTTTCGGAGCGGTTTCTTTGACGCCGATCAACTTTCGTATTCGTTCGTTAACTTTTCTGTTATGACCGCTGTGACAACCAACCCGTGAGACAACCATACCCGGTCTCCCCTACATTCATTTTTCTTTTTTTTTTATAAAAAAGCATTGCCCTTTGTATAGGATAAAATTATCCTGTGTTGTAAGAATGTTTTACAAACTTAACTACATACAATGTACAGACAAACACCAAGATCCGAAACAATTCTCTGTGGGTCACATAAATTGTTGCCTCGTGTTGGAATCGAACCCACGACCCCAGCGCTCTGGCAACTGCGCCATGGCGTCAACACATTGATGCATCCATTCATATGGAAGCAAAACTTAGCTCCGTTTCATAATTTAAAGTATAATAAAGCCTTACTAGTTAAAAACTTAACAGTGTTCGCCTGCAATCAATTCAATGGCTGGCGAAATCAGTATTGATGTTACGAAAATAACTCCTTCAATTTGCTCTTTGCTGCTAGTTAACTCGTTGATACATTTCGTATTGTTTAAAATAGTTAGAGGCGTCGGTCTCTAACTATTTTAAACAATGCGAACGTACAGTCACGTACAGTCGAACGTTAATTGAGGCATCCAATGTTTAAGGCCTCGATCCGGCGCTGCCTTTGTTTACTTTGGGCAACAAGGACGCCCGTCTGGATAAGCACGACGCGCGGCACGTGGAGGTGATCCACACTTGCGGCGGCTACTTGGGCTTCGCTTCGCCACTGGGCCATATCGATTTCTACCCTAATGGCGGCACCAGGCAGCCGGGGTGCCGTTTCGATTACAGAGGTGGGATTCACTCGCGTACCGTGGTCCGCGTTGCTTAATGGAATGGAAAATATCCGTTTCTGTTTGTTTTGTACGGCTCCCGGTTTAGTTATTTCTAATACCTAGGGCCGGTGAACTATGCGATGCGGGAACATTTCATATTATGTGGGAGTTTTAAGATTGTCGTCTGACCATTTTGTTACATTTATTAGCCTCCGATAATATTATACATTTTCCAACTATTTATGTTTTTAACTAGCTTTCCAAACTATGTAACGTGACAATTAATAGTTTTAGTGGTTTTTGAAAGTTAAGACCATCACTAATAAGATTTATGAGAATGTTGTGTAAACTCTAAAGCAATTATGTCATTTTCAAATAACATCATTTCAAACAAAAACAAACCTATGTACTAAAAGTATCATGGTAGTAAAGAAACTTTTTTATTTATAATTTAATTTTTAATATTAGTGCTAGTCTCTGCATTTAAGATGAATTTATCTACGCAATTTAACTTTTTCTTAAGAACTTTTTAATTTTTAATTTTTGTGCTAGTCTTCGCACTTTAGATAAAACATAAGCTAGAGCGTCTGAAGGCGTAACCCGGATGCGCGGGTTAATATTCTGGTAGCGCCAAAAATTTTGCGACAGGTTTATCTACACATTTTTATGTTTCATTTTAGGATAATCTTAAGGTAATTTTAAATAGTACACGCCTATTTTAAATAGCAACATGTACATGTTTCAGGGCTATGCGCACACAATCGAGCACATATGTACTTTTCGGAATCGATTATATCAACTGTTCCTTTCACCGCCGTCCGTTGTAAGGATTACGACGAGCTTTATTATAATGGATCATGTGAGGGAACTGGGGAGACTCTCATAATGGGTGGTTTCGATATACATTATGGGTGAGTACTGTTTAAGTTTACCAGGATAAGCGTTATACATGTTATGTACAACAGTAAATATGATGCAAGTCGTTTATATATACTTTAGTTCATTCACATTTGTGCTTATAATGATTTCTTGAGTTTGTAAGAATACTACACATGCGAAATAAAACTAATGTTAGCGATTTTTTCGCGTTTAATTTTGATTTTAACTCTCTGTCTTTAGCGATTCTCAAAAAGGTTCAAATTGTCGGCCACTAAAGTAAAAATTAAAACTTTAACTTGTCTTAATTTTTAGTTTGTTTAGTTTTTTTTGTTAGTTACATTGGCAGTGCAACCAAAACCTATACCTATATGTTAAATGATATTAAGTATTTTATTTCATTAGCTTTCTCTGTCCTACAAATTGAATACAATCCTTTCCGGGATATGAAGAATATTAAAACATGCGTTCAATATTCGTACAAATTACTGTTACAATGTGGCAAGTGGCGGTGGATTTAAAAGTTACGGATCTCATATGTAAATAATTTTTCGTCTCTCAATGGTTAAATGTGCACACGCAGTGTTTAATCACAGCCCGAATTTTGTTAGTTAGCATCTCCAGTTTTAAAGGCCTCCTCTGTATAGAGGGTATTGGGTGTGGTCCAACGCCAGACCACACTGTAGATTGGCAGACTTTACGGATATACTAATAGTATATATATAATAATATAGTATAATAAAATTAGAGCGTCGGAAGTTTTTGTTGCCCAGAGATTGCGTATGCATGAGATTGCTGACACTATATTTTTTCCGGACCGGTGGTAGTATTTTGACTATCAATAAGCGAGTGTAATACTCCTATGTAGAATAAAGACATTTGATTTTTATATAGGCATTTCAAAAGAAACGCAAAGCATAGTAGTGATAGAATTTAAATTTTTTAAGTTCTTTCCGAATCCTTTCAGTCATACAAAAACGTATTCAGTTCACAATTTTTAGAAGTATTTTGTACTTGTGGCTCCCGTAAGTTTTTTACAATAGATTTGTGCCCAAAGATGAAACTAGGATTCATCATTACATCCCAGAGTAAAGATAACAAACCTAATAGAGAAAAAACCCTGATGAACCGTCTCCAAAGAAAGTGAAAGCAGCCTTTTTTACACGGCGGATAATCACAAAAAGTGAAATAATAAAATCGGCATCAACGACCTTTAAAGTCATCCACGTGATGAAATCAAAAGAGAAGCGCCCGGACTTCCTCGGATAGATAATGTTTCATCACGATAATGCTTATCATACATAATCTTTTATAATCTGCGGCCCAAATTCGTTATTGTGGTTTCAAAGTACAGCTCTGTCTGGATTATTCTCTTAATCTGGTATTCATGTAATTTTGTCTGTTTTCAATCCTAATAAAACAGCTTAGGTTTAATTTAACAAAAGTATAGTGCGAAGTAGCGGTAATATATTATGAAGACTTGAAGAATCAATTTCAAGTCTCGTAAATCAGCTGGAAGAGATGGCACAGGGCTTATTATTTATTTAATTTAATATTTTTAAGACATTTTTCCTATCCACCCTTGTATTATTGTTTTATAATAAGTACGGAAATTGTATATATGTTTCATATTCTTCATGGCCTACAAAATGGTTTGTATGAAATTAGTAGAAGAGGAGAGGATTTTATATGAACACAATATACTCATATTTTGTGTAAGTTAACCATTTGATTTTTAAAAAAACACTGATTAAGGAGTATATTTTCAGGACAAATGAAAACTTTCTTCAAAGTATACATTTTTTACAAATTAAAATATTGTAAAATAAAAAAAAAATAATAAAAAAATAGGACATTAAAATAATTGTGCCGTTATTTTTTTATGTTTACAGAAAAAATTTATTTACTTTTCAGAAAAGATGGGATTTACTACCTTAAAACCAACGCGGAGAAACCTTATGCAATTGTAGACGAAAATAGTTAATGTAATTTTAAGGATATGAATAACAAAGGGTTTAATAATTATTATTTAAAATGTAGAATAATTTAGTTTTTAATTTCTTAGACACTATTTTTCAAGTTCTTGTCTTAATGGAATATCCAAAGTTTTTATTTGTAAAGTATGTATTTAATATGAAGATTTAATAAATATAAACTGCTATTATATATAATTATATTAGTCAATTTGTAAAAACTATTCATTGCATTTAATATTTATTAATTTTGAATGTTTAGATTAATATTTGTTTCACATACATAAGTACGTACATAAATAAAATACTTAAGTAATTTATACGCATTAGTTTCCTTTAACTAAAATAATGCGATTGAACTTCTAGGAATTGGACACCGAATAGGAAATATTAAATTTTAGTCAGCAAAGTATAAAGTAACATTGTTTGCACTCATATGCCCACAAACTACTAAGTATTCATGTACATACCTATTATATAGTAATATTTTAAACATGATCAAAAACAAATGATTATGTTGTTGACAACTTAATATAGTACTTAAACATCATCATTCACCTTAAACATCATTAAAAACAACAGTAATATATAGACATTATTAATTACATATATAACTTACTAGTAGCCCGGACTGACGTTCTGTACACACGGCTTAAATTCGACAACATAGAAATAAAAAATAATTGTGAATCTAAACCATTCTCGACTCGACCTGAACTCATACAAAAAATTTTTATATAAAAGGGTGTAATAATTAATTATTATACCCTTTTATATTAAAGTATTGTCTAACACATCTCCTAAACTTGTCCCATACATTTTCTATTCAGCTTATAGTCTGGGCTACGAGCCGGCCCCCACAGAAGTAATACTGATATATTGAATATTATACGCATAGACTATAAGCTCTATGGGCCGCGCATAATCGTGTATAAATATTTTACTTTTTCTCATATTCACTAGGAGAGGACCAGCACGCTTATTTAAAAATCTTCTCTACCTACGGAGATCAATACGAGTACAATCTTCAGATATCCTTTTTTCTACCACCACAACGACGTTGTACGATAATATAGATTCCAGCTCACATTATTGATCTTACACTGGAACCTACTTTACTTTCCCCAAAATATGCTAGTAGAAACAGTTCGTCTGGTCTTCTATGTACTCTTCGTTCCCATGGTTCGTAAATAAACTAAATCAGAGTCATGTACCACGGTAACGTTCTGTGCGCATTTTTCAACTAGCGTCATGATGCTGCACTGATTGAATGAGCAATCCAAGAAATTCTTTTTAATGACAACTCGATTCAAAAAATAAAGGAAAAAAAAAGTAGTGGTTCGAATGTTGCATTGCGATATTTTAATAAATTCTGACTTTTACTTTTTTAAGCTGTAACTTGCAAATAGCTCTATTTACGCGTATAAAACAGGTACTACATAATATAAGAGAAATTTATTTAAAGAGTTTTGGTATATTTCTATGACCTGAAATTATTGCAGCCTAATGTAATTGCATGAAATTCGGTTGATATTAAAATTATTATTGAGATGCTTAACGAACGAGCGAATATCGTTAAGAGGTACTTTGGGCTTCCCCTGAAACGTTATTATTAAATGATTCGTTGATTAATATTTAGGAAGTAAAAAATATTTCTTTAAAGTCATTTTAACATGTTTCAAGCAATTTTGAACATCAAAGTCTACCTTTGACATTTTAGAACATTTCTACCTATCAAAGAGGAAGTTAAAAGAAACTATGCCGTCATAATTTACGTAATTTTCCTTTGGTTACTTACGGTAAGTTACTTGGCCATACAGATGGTCGTATTTAAAATGGTCCTAATTACCTTGGGGAACTTTATAGGGCATCAAAATTGAAATAACTACATCAACGCACGCGAGCACTGGAGGTGCCCTAAACTTGAATTTATTTTTCATGGTTTCCTTTTTTTTAATTCTGACATAGGCCATGTTAACATTTTGATTTACATATATTTTAAATACGAAAGTCGATTGGTTATGTCTGGCAAATGGATTATACACATAATTCAATGCAATGATTATTTATTGTAAAAGGATGTATTTATCAGGAGGCATTTCTTGGCATAATTTAGCACAAATCATTATACTTTGGATACGATTTGCCATAAATGCTTTTTACGAATTTAGGTGTCATTTGCCAATTATTTCGAAGCTAACTTTTGAATTCGTAGTTCGTTCAACTCTACTGCACTGACGTTTACTTCACTACATGCACGTTAGCTTCCTATCCTGCAATTGCTAATTGGATTTCCTTGTTGGAGAAAGTCACGTAAAGTTTGAATTTTGCAACTCTGGCCTCTAACTTCCATACGCAAACTATTTAATGGTTCTATTTTCTTTTGACGGACGGATAATTTTAATCATATACTTGTGATTGTTCTTCAAAAGTTCAAGGTCTTTCTTAGTGGTTTACGACATTAAACTCAAGTTGTATTTCATATTAAAACAAAACAATTTATATTTTTACTGCCGGACTTCGGCTCAGTAGCTGTAGGCTGAGTAGAATCTTTAAAGCTGTCGTTACTACCAGTAAGGAGAGCGTAGGTGCTGGGAGAAATAGTGGCGGAAGAAACTCCAGTAACGGTTCTGTCATTAATGGGGGAAAACCTGCAAGGTACGTAGCGGAACCTTGTATATGTTTGCCGGTTGGGACACGCGGCGGTGGACTCGAAGTAGCAGCGTCACGCCGACTTCAGGAATTTACGTGTAAGTCGAATTCGCGTTTCGTCTGGTGAGTGAGGTAACCGGGGCCCACCTTTTTGAAGGTTGTTAAAGCATCTGCAAGTCATCGGGAGTTGTAGTTGTCCATAGCCGGCGGTATTTAGGTAATCACGTAACATCAGGTGAACCGCATGCTCGGTTAACAACTTTACACATAAAAAAAAGCAAATGAAAATTCACCTAGGACAATAGCGTCCTGCAATTTTGAATATATATTAATATTTCTATTAAGGTATAACGAGATAAAACTGATATAATGGACCATAAATAATAAAGTTGCAATTTAAAAAATGTAAATTAATGTGGTTGCGAAATAGGGTATCGAATTTCAGAGGTTAGTAGGGCAAATTGACAACCGAACATCAAACTGCCATCATCTGTCACCAGACAAGTCTCATGCGATTGGTCTATTATCAAACGTTTCGTTTAGAAGTTTTAGTGATGCCTCAACTTATGTACGTAGTCGTGATGGTGAAAATGGTCATTATTTTATTTTTCAGTTTATACCGGAGCTATTGTTTTTGAAAACGTGTAAAAGACCCCGTTAACAACGAAAGTTTGCACGTAACCATCCGGTTCGTTCCGTTCCAAAAAAAAGTTTGAATTTTTTTAGGGATTCGTACCCAAAGGTTAAAACGGGACTGTATTACATATACTCCGCTGTCTGTCTGTTTGCTTACCTGTCTGTCTGTCTGTCCGTCTGTCACCAGGCTGTATTTCATGAACCGTGATAGTTAGACAGTTGAAATTTTCACCGATGATGTATATCTGTTGCCACTATAACAAAAATACTAAAAAACAGATTAAAAATATTTAAGTGGGGCTCCCAAACAACAGACATGATTTATTGGGGTTTTTATAGATGGTACGGAACCCTCCATGGGCGAGTTCAACTCACATTTGGCCAGTTTGTTAATTCGTTTTTTATGAAAGCAACTGTACTTAGACACACCAACCAAGATTTTATTTTATAATAGATGTAGGTTTTTACACGAGAAATTTACTGTTATATAAAGCTTGCGTAAGGCCAATCATGTCCTACGCATGCATGATCTTCGCACACATAAATCCTACGCGCATTGACGAATTGCAAGTAGTTCAAAGTAAGTTTATCCGCCGCGCAACCGGTGCGCAATGGTATCAGCGCAACGTCGACCTGCACAGCGATTGCAGACTCCCGACGATTCGCGCACATTTTAAAGATTTGACAAAACGGTTCTTCGATAGAGCCCAGCATCATCCCAACCCTCTGGTGGTAAGCGCAGCAAACTACCTACCGGACACTAACGCGAACGTAAACAAGCGTCGCTCGCGAAACGTCCTCATCGACCCGATCGACGAAGAGGACTTAGACACGATGGACCCACCGCCGGGGGTCCCGCCGGATAACACTACACCCACAGTTAGTGTAACAACAATCACACCAGTTCGCCCTCGCCTCCGAGCACGGCGAGACCCACACAACGCGTACACAAGGTACACCCGCGTTCCGGGGCGGTTCTCACCGCTCCCAGCCACCGATTAGCTAAATGCACAGTCGACGGCCGTCGGGGTCTCGGTCCGAACCGGCGACCTCGACGGCCCTTAGATGACACACCATAGTAGTTAAACGCACGCATGAGCACATGCGCGACCCTACCCATAGCGGAGGGTCCAAACCCGTGGGTTCTGGCTAGCCCACCGGTTCTGCGTCCGATGAAGCTTTAATAGTCTCGGGACTGAAAGCAAAAACATCAGTTAATACAAGATACAAGATACACGAGAAATTACAGGTTACATCTACATGACAGGATGTAATTTAAGTATTAAATATATATTCATAATAAATGAATACATTATACTTAAATTATATCGTTGTCATAATTACATTAGTATAAATAAGTCGATTATAATAATAAGTATGACTATATAATCAATAATCAATAATAAATTATATTGCAATTCGCTATTAGGTATATAATAATATTAGCACACCAGAAGTGATATGATGGGAAAGCTACTACTATATTTATTAACAATTTAGTGTACCATGTGTGCAATTGTACAATAAGTTGTTCTATTTTATTCTACGTCCTTTGAAGTCACATAAGGAACATTGGATGAGAAGGAACTTTAATTACTCGGGAATAATTTTCTATCAAGACAATAATTTCTTGGTCGGTGTTTGGGGACCTAGTAGTAATTAAGGACCGACTGCGAAATTTATTTTCGCCGGTGTGATTCCATAAATTTTTCCTTAATTA